CAGCCACCTTGTCACTTGTTGCTGCCTGTGACCCCAGGCCTCCCCTTCCTGGGCACAGCAGCACCCTGTGGTGGGAGGAGCCCCAAGGCTCACGGCTCAGTTGCTGTGCCCCTGCTCTCCTGGGTGCAGCCTGTGGCAGGGGCAGCCGAGCAGACTCGTCCCCTGGGTCGGCCCCCGTGAGCTCCTCTTCTGTTGCTCGTCTGGGTTCCGACTTTGGGCTCTGACTCTGGGTGCCCTGCCATACCTCTGTGCCCCAGCCTGGTTTTGCAGTGGCCTAGTGTTGTGTAGCAGCTGCCCCTGCTGTTGGCTGAAGCCAGCACACTGGGCCCCACTGTGGTTCCTGTGTGTACAGCTTCGCCCTACGCACGTGCCACCATGCTTGTCCTCAGGTTTGTCTTGCGTGAGGTGGGATTGAGCACAGCCTGCTCGTGCGGTGGACCAGGGATATGTTCTCTGTGCCCCAGGCTGACCCCTGCAGCTGGGCCAGCGATCTGAGGTGTCCCCCCATCAGGAATGCAGTGGAGATGCGTGGAGGGGCCTGCTGAGCTCACTGCCGGTGCCCTGCTGCTGCTGTAGAATGTTGCACTGGCCAGCCTGTGCTGCACGCAGTGGTTGCTGGCAGGTGTGTGGCCGGCCCATGCAGTCCCCACTCGTGGTCCTCGGAGGTGGGGAGGCCGTGGGGTTGGCCTGCACAGCCGTTCCTCCTGGTGGAGCTTATCTGGGGCAGCTCTCCTCTCCCTCAGTCTCTTCCTGGGCTGGGTAGGGTTGAGGGGACAGGGGAAAGAGGAGGCTGCCTGCCTGATCCTGCTTGAGACTTGGGGGCGTGGCTGTCCGTTTCCTGGGCACTGCTCCGTGGTTTGGGGACGGGTGCAGTTGGAGGTGGCTCTGATCCCCATGGCCTCGTGGGGAGAGATCGGGCTAGGGCAGGATCCCAGGGCATAGTGGAAGTGTGGGGTGTTGAGAAGGTCCAGCTGTCATGGCTGAAAGGTGGGGGTAGCCACTGAGTATGTGGCAGGGCTGGGTGTGGAAGCAGGCGTGTGGGCTGTGGTTGTGATGCGTGTGTGTGTAAGTGTGTATCCCACTCAGACACCCACTGAGGACACCCACTGACCTAAGAGCACTCCTCTGAGTGGCCCTGGCCACGGTGGGTGTTTGGGCGTGCAGAGCCCCCTCTGTCTCTTAAATAAATAAATATGACTTAAAAAAACACCTCATTTTCTTTTTCTGGATATGCTTACGTATTTCAGCTTGAATGTTTGGTAGGGCAGTGAGCTCTCGTGGGGGGAATGGGTGGTGTCAGCTCCTGCTTCCCCTCCTGGCACCTCCTGTCTCAGGCAGTAGGAGGGACCCAGTCCCCCGTGGGAGTTGGTGCCCCGTGCTGCCTGCTCCCCTGCAGACTCGCTAGCAAGTATTGCACCCACCGTGGCGCCCGTGGCCCTCGGTCCCGGCTGCTCGGGGCCGAGTACTCACTGTGTGTTCTTATGAAACATTTACTTCTATTGAAAGTAAAAGGAGCTGTGGAAAGCAGATTGAATAGGAGATTTTTTCTATAAAACTAGTAGAAAATTAGTGTTGAAGATACTGGCTTATCATAGGACGCTTGCCTGAAGTGTGAGATGTGCCCAGCTGGTTCAGTCTAAGGTGTAGAGGGTGTTTGGTGTCCTGGCCCTGTGTGTCTGTCCACATCTGGCCAGCTGGTGGCCTCTCAGATCTCCCCTGGGGAGTTGTGTCCATTTCCGGCCCCTTGCCTTAGGCACTCAAGTACAGGAACTGAGGGACACCTGGAGGAGGGGGCTGAGAGGCAGCGTGCCCAGCCCTTGGGGGTGGCAGCTGTGGTCAGGAGTGCTGACGCCCCCACTTCCCTGACGGCTCTCGCCATGGCCGGGCTGTCTGGCCGCCCTGCCCGCTCCCCCGACGGCTCTCGCCACGGCTGGGCTGTCTGGCCGCCCTGCCTGCTCCCCCGACGGCTCTCGTCACGGCCGGGCTGTCTCATCGTGCCGTTTCCTCTTGGTTCCATCGTTGCAGCTTCTCTGGGTTCCGAGTTCAGGCTGTCTGGAGGGTGCTTCAGCTTGAGTGTTTTTAGCTAAGAATGCATCTTTCCGCTCCATGGCGAGTGCTGGCCTTGTCTCATTGTTGTATGTCCTGTTGAGAAGTGTGTCCGCTACATTCTGATGTCACAGTGAAGGCCATTGGTGGGCAGGCTCAGCCAGTCAGCGGCTCCTGGTCCTCAAGCAAGGAAGACTTATAAGCCTGGAATAACAGGAAGCACCTCCTCTGTGACATCCTGTTGTTCTCAGTTCGGTGACTCCTCGGTCTGGCCACCATGAAGGTTAGTAGGAACTTAAATTTGTGTTTCTTCTTTGTAGAATGTGGTTTGAGGTTCCTAGCTGTAGAATAAGACCCCAAAACAATAATGGAAAAAAGTTTGCATTGTCTTCTTTAAACAGCGTGGTCTTTGTGCAGTTGTTCAGGGTGGTAACACTTTTTATGCTTTTTTAACATGACTTTTTAACTCATTTTTGTCTCTTGGAAATGAGGGTGGACATTGATTTGTGTTAGAAGTTCATCTTCCCTGGCAGTCCAGCCTGTGAATCCCAGGCTGGTGGGATTGCACGGTCTGCCTCATGGAGGAAGGCCCTGGCTGCTGTGGCCTCTGCACTGGAAATGGCGTCAGGAAGCAGGTGGCGGTGGCGGCTCTCCCGCCCACCCCAGAGTCGAGTCAACTCTAGTCTGACGCTGCTCCTCTGGTAGCTGCCTTAAAAAAAAATCTTAAATGTATTTGAAAGGCGGAGCCACAAAGAGCTCCCCACTGATGGTTCGTCTTCCTAAGCACCTACAGTCAGAGTGGATGGGCTGCCACAAGGAGCTGGGCGCCCCCTCGGGCTGCAGCAAGGAGCCGGGCGCCTCCTCAGGCTGCAGCAAGGAGCCGGGTGCCTCCTCGGGCTGCCACAAGGAGCCAGGCGCCCCCTCGGGGGTGGTGGGGTCCCGTCCTTGTCACCTGCTGCTCCCACTGTGCGTGTGAACAGGAAGCTGGATTGGAAGTGGAGCTGCAAGGCAGGTATCCCCAGTGATGGCCTTACCCTGCCATCAAAGGCCAAGTGCCTCCCGGCCTCTGGAGGTGGTTTCCAGTTCTGTGATTGTGGTTCCAAGTTTATGAATAATTAAATAACCATGGACTACTTTGGTTCACAAACTCTGGCCAGAACCGCTGGTGGGGGTGGCTGAGGGCGGTAGGGGCAGTGTTGGCCCTCACTGGAGTTGGTTTTCTCAAGGTCTCCTGATGGAAGCTGAGCTTGTGCAGACAACCCCAGAGGCTGCTGGGGCGAATGTTCCTGTCCTGCGGTGAGGGGCCATGCTGCCTCTATAGACCTCATGGGCAGTGCAGGTGGACCAGGAGCCAGTAGCATATGTGAGGCACCCAGCCCAGGGCTCAGGCACTCAGGAAGTGAGACGGAGGGGCCAGCCTGTAGGCGTCAGCTGGGAGGGAGCCGGGAGCCGGGAACCGGGAGCAGGGGCAGGAAGTTCCTGTTGAACCCTATGTGGTGGGGGCCGGGAGCAGGAGCAGGGGCAGAGGCAGGGGTAGGGGCAGGGGTAGGGGCAGGGGCAGGGGCAGGAGCAGTGGCTGGGGCTGGGGCAGGGGCAGGGGCAGGAGCAGGGGCAGGAGCAGGGGCAGTGGCTGGGGCAGGGAGTTCCTGCTGAGCCCTATGCAGTGGGGGCGGGGGCAGGAGCAGGGAGTTCTCACTGAGCCCTATATGGTGGGAGCAGGGGCAGGAGCAGTGGCAGGGGCAGGAGCAGGGGCAGGGGCAGGGGCAGGAGCAGGGGCAGTGGCTGGGGCAGGGAGTTCCTGCTGAACCCTATGTGGTGGGGGCGGGGGCAGGGGCAGGAGCAGGGGCAGGGGCAGGAGCAGGGGCAGGGGCAGGGAGTTCTCACTGAGCCCTATATGGTGGGAGCAGGAGCAGGGGCAGTGGCAGGGGCAGGGGCAGGGGCAGGGGCAGGGAGTTCTCACTGAGCCCTATATGGTGGGAGCAGGGGCAGGGGCAGTGGCAGGGGCAGGAGCAGTGGCAGGGGCAGGGAGTTCTCACTGAGCCCTATATGGTGGGAGCACGGGCAGGAGCCGGGGCAGGAGCAGGGGCAGGGGCAGGAGCAGTGGCAGGGGCAGGGGCAGGGGCAGGGGCAGGGAGTTCTCACTGAGCCCTATATGGTGGGAGCAGGGGCAGGGGCAGTGGCAGGGGCAGGGGCAGGGAGTTCTCACTGAGCCCTATATGGTGGGAGCAGGGGCAGGAGCAGGGGCAGGGGCAGGAGCAGTGGCAGGGGCAGTGGCTGGGGCAGGGAGTTCCTGCTGAGCCCTATGCGGTGGGGGCGGGGGCAGGGGCTGGGAGTTCCTGCTGGGGGACTGTGGTGACAGAGGACCTGGAGGAGTCCAGTGCTCTGTGGCAGTGAGAAGCGGGTCGGGCTGGGATACACGGGCTGTCTGATGAAGATTTCCCTCATGGTTTTTCTGGGTTGTGGGTGATTTGACAGTTGCAGTTATGCTGGGAGACAGTGTTTGGTGACATAAAGCTGTCCGTAGCAGTGTTTGGAGCGAGTGTATTTGAACGTGTGTGTGTGTGTGCGTGTGTGCCCGTGCCCGTCACAAGCCCCGGGCTCACCAGCTCGTGTTTGTTATCTCCTAGCCCTGGGAGGTGCCATATGCCTCTGCGCATGTGCATCGGGACCCAGGGCCGACAGGCGGGTGGCTCACGTCAAGTCTGAGGCCATTGCAGGGCTGTGTGCCCTGGGTTGGTGCCCCAGCCTCCCCCAGCTACTTCAGGGTCAGGTGCTGAGCCCCTCTTGTGCTGCCGTGGGCTGTGGAGCTCACCCGTGCTGGACAGGGCTCACCCGAGGGCTGCAATGGGACTGCTGTGTCCAGGCAAAGCGCCACGCCTGGCCTCGACAGTGATCTTGTCACGTGTGCCTTTGAACACAGGACTCTCCTAATCGTGCCTGTTTTTTTCTTTCAGACGTTTGACGCGAATGATCTGTACCAGGGGCAGAACTTTAGCAAGGTCCTCAGCTCCTTGGTGACTCTGAATAAAGTAACAGCAGGTGAGGCTCTTAACAGAACTCTAAGGGTCAGGCCCCAGGCCACAGCTGTCTGCTGAGTGAATGATGGGCCCCAGGCCACAGCTGTCTGCTGAGTGAGTGATGTGTCGGGCCCCAGGCCACAGCTGTCTGCTGAGTGAGTGGTGGGCCCCAGGCCCCAGGCCACAGCTGTCTGCTGAGTGAGTGGTGGGCCCCAGGCCCCAGGCCACAGCTGTCTGCTGAGTGAGTGATGGGCCCCAGGCCCCAGGCCACAGCTGTCTGCTGAGTGAGTGATGGGCCCCAGGCCCCAGGCCACAGCTGTCTGCTGAGTGAGTGATGGGCCCCAGGCCTCAGCTGTCTGCTGAGTGAGTGATGGGCCCCAGGCCACAGCTGTCTGCTGAGTGAGTGATGGGCCCCAGGCCCCAGGCCACAGCTATCTGCTGAGTGAGTGATGGGCCCCAGGCCCCAGGCCACAGCTGTCTGCTGAGTGAATGATGGGTCGGGCCCCAGGCCACAGCTGTCTGCTGAGTGAGTGATGGGTCGGGCCCCAGGCCACAGCTGTCTGCTGAGTGAATGATGTGTCAGGCCCCAGGCCACAGCTGTCTGCTGAGTGAGTGATGGATCGAGTCCCACGAGTCCCACGCCACAGCTGTCTGCTGAGTGAATGATGGGTCGGGCCCCAGGCCACAGCTGTCTGCTGAGTGAGTGATGGGCCCCAGGCCACAGCTGTCTGCTGAGTGAGTGGTGGGCCCCAGGCCCCAGGCCACAGCTGTCTGCTGAGTGAGTGATGGGCCCCAGGCCACAGCTGTCTGCTGAGTGAGTGATGGGCCCCAGGCCCCAGGCCACAGCTGTCTGCTGAGTGAGTGACTGGATTCGGAGATGCTCCGCTGGGTTATACTCTCTTCTTCCTCGTCAGAATTGGTCTGTGTCTTTTTTTAAAGATTGTATTTATTTGAAAGAGTTAAGAGAATTTAAGAGATAGCGATTCTCATCTGCTGGTTCCCTGCACAGATATCTGGCTGACTTGGCCAGGACTTGGCCAGGCTGAAGCCAGGCCCCTGCAACTTCCACCTGGGGCGGGTACTTGGGCCGAGGCAGCCTGGCCACTTTCCCAGCCACGTTAGCGGACGGGCCGCTGGGAGCTGCAGCGGTGCCTGTGTGGGATTCAGGGGCTCCACAGTGCCAGCGCCACGATGTTGATCCTTAGGACCTCTGGTGGGTGCCAGGGTTTTCCTTTCTGTGGGTGATTTTCTCGTCTGAACATGTGGCACAGATGTGTCCTCGACATGGTGTGTTCTGTCCCAGGCTTGGCCTCTCCCTGGGGTTTTTGACGCTGTGTTGGTGAAAGCTTCTTTTGGGGAGCAGTACAGTTTTGAGTTGTGCTCACGATGAGGGAAGGGCCACTGGACTGGTGCATAGACTGGTATCTATGATACCCTGAGGGCTGGCAGCCCCGGCACAGGTGGCTGGTTGGTCGACTGTGTGGTCATTGAAATGGGTGGCTCTGGTGAACCCTCTGTCCACAGGCTGGAGGGGAGTCCCTCTGGCTGATTCCCTCATGGCAGTTGGGGACTCCAGTCAGAAGAAATGTCCATGCTGCCTTGTCTGTCGGCCTGACGGCTGCAAGGTGTACGGCCATGGGGCGGGAACCTGAGGTTTACTCTCCCGGCCTCCTTCCTCAGCTTGTCTGGCCTGCTCCTTGGGGCATGGGTGCGGGCAGGAGGGACTGGGCCTTGGGTTGTTGGGGCACTGGTCCTGTCAGCATACATGTGCTGCACTGTGTCTGCCTGCAGTGCCCCTGCCTGGGCAGATCCTTGGCTGCATGGGGACCTGCATGGTGTCGCTGCAAGGTAAGTATTTGAAGGGGCGGAATACAAAGCCAGGTGTAAATTATTTAGATCTCACGCAGCCGTTTGTGGCATGTCATAATGGTGATGAGTTAGTGAAGCGGCCTTCTTTGCACCTTTGCTTTCAGAATGCCACCTTTAGTGGGGACGGACATGAGGACGAGGACTGAGCCTGCACGTCTAGGGGGCGGGGACGGACGTGAGGACTGAGCCTGCACGTCTGGGGGGGGTGATGGAAGCACGCTTGCTAGTATTTACCTGGAGACTTGGGTCGTCCCCTGTCTCCTGGCCACATGGTGTCCTTCCGGAGCTGTTTCAGCAATTGTGTGGACCTCTACATGTTTGCATGACAAGTGAGTGAGTGAAGAGAGGTCTCTGGCTTCGGACAGGAGTAGCCCAGGTGAGTCTCCAGAGAATCCTTGCTCTGCCTGCAATGTGCTTCCTGGGAAGGAAGGCAGAGCGTCTTGCACCCTGTCCTCTGCCTGCCAGTTGTACATGGAGGTGGCTCAGAGTGTCAGTGAGGCTCCACAGCTGGGCTTTGCTGCACTGCAGTGGGCTTGATGTGAGATGGGTTTCCTGCGAGAGATGGAGGTCGAGAGAGGCTGTCCCCAGCCTGAAGGCACTAACGGCTGTGGCATGCGAGGTGTAGAATAAAGGGGCGCCTTAGGGACCGAGGACGTTGGTGCTCTCTGGCACGCTCAGGCCAAGTGTTCCCATGTTTCTTTCTGTTGGCTGTTTACTGTCGGCATTCTGAATCGGAGGTGGAAGTGACTCAGCCTACAGGAGCCACTCCGCAGCAGACAGACTCGGTCAAGGAGTTAGATAAGCATTTGCCTCCTGTTTGGATGGCTTGGGCACACCAGCTCAGTTCTCAGGGTGCCTTCTTGTGCTGGGTTGCGTAAGGGTTTCTCTGTGTGCAGAGCCTGCAGGAGGCAGCCCCGCGGCTGGGGCTGTGCTCTGTGCAAATCTGTACGCTCTAAGCAGGATGGGCCTGAGTGTAGGGCCCCTAGAGAGGCTTTGAGGGAGTCCTTGCAGCCCTGCCCAGCCCAGAGCTGGTTTTCTGGGAGGAGGAGGGACTCGGGCGGGTCTTGTCCCCTATGAGCACAGCAGCCGTGAGGCCAAGGTGCTGCGATGCACTAGGATGTCCACATGCTGGCAGTTTGCTTAGAACTTGGAAGATTGCTTGCTGTACCAGTCTGTCCGGAACTTCTGGGCGAGTCCCTGTGGCTCCTGCCGTGGCCGGGCGTGGCACTGGAGCAGTGGGGTTTCTGCGGGCCAGCCCTGTGGCTCCTGCCATGGGCACGGTGCCATGGGGCAAAAGGGGTTCATGGGCTCCACATTTATTCAGTCTACTCTTGTGAGAGACAATGGCTAACTTCTTGCTGGTAGAGTCTGGTGTGAGGAGCATGTGAGTGGAAGCCTGCCCGGCAAGGTGAGGTGAGGCAGCCACGCTGCCTCTGTGTTGAGGATGTAGTGCTGGGTGCTCCCCAGCTGCTGGAAGCTCAGGGAGTTTGGATGATCTTTTTTGCAAGGTGCTTTTTAAAAGTTTTTAAAAGATTTATTTGTTTTTTATTGGGAAGGCAGATTTACAGAGACAAGGAGAGAAAGAAAGATCTTCTGTCCACTGGTTCGCTCCCCAAGTAGCTGCAGTGGGTGGAGCTGAGCCGATCCAAAGCCAGGAGTCGGGAGCTTCATCCGGGTCTCCCACTCGGGTGCAGAGTCCCAAGGCTTGGGGCCGTCGTCCTTCTCTGCTTTCCTAGGCTGCAAGCAGGGAGCTGGCTGGGAAATGGAGCAGCTGGGACACGAACCTGCGCCCATGTGGGATCCTGACGGTTCATGGGCAGGATGAGTTAAGTAGCTAGTTAAGCCATCATGCTGGGCCCACAAGGTAGTTGTTACTGTGTGTTGTGTGCAGTGTGCTTGGGGGTGAGTGCCTGCCGCTCACTGCACCTGAGGCTTGACCTGCCCCTGGTAGGGCATGGAGGGGAGCAGCTGCAGAACCGTGCAGACTCTGTAACGGGTCGTGTGGGCAGAGCCAGGAGAGGTGATCTCTGAGAGTGGGCACAGGTGATGACTGGCGAGGGAGTGAAGGCATTAGGGTCCAAGACACAGGCTCTGTTCTGTGTGGGCGGCTTGAATGGTGGCTTTGTTGTGGTCCCTAGTGTGTCCCCTGGGCTGCCCTAGTTTTAGTGTCACATGGCAGGGTGGTGCAGTTTCAGGCTTTCGAAAGCTCCCCTGTCTACCTGCTCTTTTCAGACATCGGGCTCGGGAGTGATTCTGTGTGCACACGGCCCTCATCTCACAGGATCAAGTCCTTCGACTCCCTCGGATCGCAGTCTTCACACAGTCGGACTTCGAAATTGTTCCAGGGCCAGTGTCGGAGTTTGGTAAGTCTGAGACGTGTTCTCTGCAGTCAGGTGTGCAGGGGTGTGGCGCGGGGATGGCAGTGGGCTGTGCAGGGGCGTGTGGCGCGGGGTTGGCAGTGGGGTGTGCAGGGGCGTGTGGCGCGGGGTTGGCAGTGGGGTGTGCAGGGGTGTGGCACGGGGTTGGCAGTGGGGTGTGCAGGGGTGTGGTGTGGGGTTGGCAGTGGGGTGTGCAGGGGCGTGGCGTGGGGTTGGCAGTGGGCTGTGCAGGGGTGTGGCGTGGGGTTGGCAGTGGGGTGTGCAGGGGTGTGGCGTGGGGTTGGCAGTGGGGTGTGCAGGGGCGTGTGGCGCAGGGTTGGCAGTGGGGTGTGCAGGGGCGTGGCGTGGGGTTGGCAGTGGGCTGTGCAGGGGCGTGTGGCGCGGGGTTGGCAGTGGGGTGTGCAGGGGTGTGGCGCGGGGTTGGCAGTGGGGTGTGCAGGGGTGTGGCGCAGGGTTGGCAGTGGGCTGTGCAGGGGTGTGGCGTGGGGTTGGCAGTGGGGTGTGCAGGGGCGTGTGGCGTGAGGTTGGCAGTGGGGTGTGCAGGGGTGTGGCGCGGGGTTGGCAGTGGGGTGTGCAGGGGCGTGTGGCGCAGGGTTGGCAGTGGGGTGTGCAGGGGTGTGGCGCGGGGTTGGCAGTGGGGTGTGCAGGGGTGTGGCGTGGGGTTGGCAGTGGGGTGTGCAGGGGCGTGTGGCGTGAGGTTGGCAGTGGGGTGTGCAGGGGCGTGTGGCGCAGGGTTGGCAGTGGGGTGTGCAGGGGTGTGGCGTGGGGTTGGCAGTGGGGTGTGCAGGGGTGTGGCGCGGGGTTGGCAGTGGGGTGTGCAGGGGTGTGGTGTGGGGTTGGCAGTGGGGTGTGCAGGGGCGTGGCGTGGGGTTGGCAGTGGGCTGTGCAGGGGTGTGGCGTGGGGTTGGCAGTGGGGTGTGCAGGGGTGTGGCGCGGGGTTGGCAGTGGGGTGTGCAGGGGCGTGTGGCGCAGGGTTGGCAGTGGGGTGTGCAGGGGCGTGGCGTGGGGTTGGCAGTGGGGTGTGCAGGGGCGTGTGGCGTGGGGTTGGCAGTGGGGTGTGCAGGGGTGTGGCGCGGGGTTGGCAGTGGGCTGTGCAGGGGTGTGGCGCAGGGTTGGCAGTGGGCTGTGCAGGGGTGTGGCGTGGGGTTGGCAGTGGGGTGTGCAGGGGCGTGTGGCGTGAGGTTGGCAGTGGGGTGTGCAGGGGTGTGGCGCAGGGTTGGCAGTGGGGTGTGCAGGGGCGTGTGGCGCAGGGTTGGCAGTGGGGTGTGCAGGGGCGTGTGGCGTGGGGTTGGCAGTGGGGTGTGCAGGGGCGTGTGGCGCAGGGTTGGCAGTGGGGTGTGCAGGGGTGTGGCGCGGGGTTGGCAGTGGGGTGTGCAGGGGCGTGTGGCGTGGGGTTGGCAGTGGGGTGTGCAGGGGCGTGTGGCGCGGGGTTGGCAGTGGGGTGTGCAGGGGCGTGTGGCGCAGGGTTGGCAGTGGGGTGTGCAGGGGTGTGGCGCGGGGTTGGCAGTGGGGTGTGCAGGGGCGTGGCGTGGGGTTGGCAGTGGGGTGTGCAGGGGCGTGTGGCGTGGGGTTGGCAGTGGGGTGTGCAGGGGCGTGTGGCGCGGGGTTGGCAGTGGGGTGTGCAGGGGCGTGTGGCGTGGGGTTGGCAGTGGGCTGTGCAGGGGCGTGTGGCGCGGGGTTGGCAGTGGGCTGTGCAGGGGCGTGTGGCGTGGGGTTGGCAGTGGGGTGTGCAGGGGTGTGGCGTGGGGTTGGCAGTGGGGTGTGCAGGGGCGTGGCGTGGGGTTGGCAGTGGGGTGTGCAGGGGCGTGTGGCGCGGGGTTGGCAGTGGGTTGTGCAGGGGTGTGGCGCAGGGTTGGCAGTGGGGTGTGCAGGGGCGTGTGGCGCCGGGTTGGCAGTGGGCTGTGCAGGGGCGTGTGGCGTGGGGTTGGCAGCGCTCTAGCCAGTGATTCCCCTTGGTGTGCTCTGTGTGCTCGCTGCCAGAGTGTGCAAGAACTCTGTATCATCTGAAGAGTGTGTGCAGCCACACGTGTGCCGTGTGCATGAGGACCCAGGCGGGTGTGACACGGGCTCGGGGAGCTGGGTGGTCATGAGACAGCCTCACAGGCAGCCTTTCTTCTTGGAAGTTGGACCTGGCTGCGTCAGAGACGTCTCCCAGGGGTGAGTAGTGTGTGTGTCAGTGCTCGCACTGTGAGGGATGGCCCTGGTCATCCCTACACTCTGCGAAGGGGACCTGCAGGACTGGAGAGACTGGTGTGACTTCTTTTCTAATCAGTGTCCTGTTGATCTGTGTGAGCTGCTTCTAGAGAGCCTTGCTGTCGGCGTCTCGGGACCACAGCCCTCCCTGAGCGGCAACATGCGTGGCTGTGGTGCTGGCATAGGCTGTGGCACCCACAGGGTTAGGGAAGTAGCCTGGTTGGCGAGCAGGTGCTGCAGGCCTGTTGGGTGCAGTCTTGCCTTGGGCCCTGGTGGGTATGGGGGTCGGGGAGATTGTTTGGTGCACCTGCTGTTCAGCCCTGGCTTGACTGCTGACAGTAGCCCTGCTGTGGTGAAACAGCTGTGAAATGCCACTTGAACGGCCTCCTATGACGGTCACACAGCGGCTGGGGGCTCCGAGAGCTCGCAGGGGGCATGGTCCTCCTGGCCCTGCTGGTGTCTGATAGTTAGACAGCTGCGGGCAGACATTGCTGCCTGCCTGGGAGAACTTCCAGCCGGAGCGAGTTTACGGAGTTCCGGTCTTCTGCCCTCCCCCGACCCCCGTCCCTGCTGCCTTGTGCTTGGGTGCTGCCCTATCTCAGGCACCTAAACCCCATGGGGAGAGGCCGCGTGCTGTTGTCCCTTCGCACTCTGCTGGATGTTGTCTCCAGGCCTGGCCATGTGTTGGTTTCTTTGTTCATTTGTCCTTCCTTCCTTCTTCCTTCCTGCCTCCCGTCCCTCCCTTGCTCTCAGTCTCTTTTCCTTGGTGTATTTTTGGGGTTGGTGCTGTGATGTAGTGATGTAGCAGGTTGAGCCTCCTCCTGTGATGCCAGCATCCCATATGGGTGTAGGTTTGTGTCCTAGCTGATCTACTTGCAGTTCAGCTCCCTGCTTGTGGCCTGGGAAAGCAGTTGAGGATGGCCAAGTTTTGGGCCCCTGCGCCCATGTGGGAGACCTGGAACAAACTCCTAGCTTCATTTTGGCCCAGCCTTGGCTGTTGTGGCTATATGGGGAGTGAACCCACAGATGGAAGATCTCTTGTCTGGTTGTGGGAGAGACAAGAGTTGTCTCATGACCAGAGTTGAATTGATCTGGAGCCTGGAGTTTCTTCTAGGTCTCCCAGGTGGGTGCCCGGCCCAAGGCTGTGGGACCATCCTTTGCTACTTTCCCAAGTGGGTTAATTAACAGGGAGCAGGATCGGGAGTGGGCAGCAGGGACTTGAGTTGGCATCTGCTTGGGATGCCTGCATTGCATGCGGCGGCTTTGGGGAAGGTGCAGGGAGGGGGACAGGAAAGGTGAGATAAGGAAACATGACGATGGCTTGGCTGTAGTTGGTGATGCTTCTTGTCCGGGAGTAAGGGGGTAGTGATGGTCTCTGGGCAGCAGCTCCGTGCTTGGGCAGCCCCTCCACCCCCTGCTCGGGCACGCTGCCTAGGGTGGTCGAGCTACCCCGGAGCTGCAGGTGCCTGTAGCTGGTCTGGGGTCCCAACGTGGGCCTTGTGGCCAGGAGCCTTGGTCTTTGTGTTCTTCAAACATCATGTGGTTCTCTGAAAATGGCTTTAGGTAAAGGAGAGCAGTGGAGACGGCCCCTTGCACCTTTGCTGTTGGCTCCTAGGTGTTTCCCGTGAGTCAGTGGAGCGCGTGGGAGGACTCGTGCAGGGCCTGGGCTGTGCTTCCCTGCTCAGCTTTGCTTGCATAGACCTTCCCTGGGGGCTGCCTGCTCCCTGCCCCCTTGGCTGGCGAGGGGCTGCCTTTGGGCCCTCTTTCTGTCATTGAGTCCACCTGCCTTTGCAGAGCCCTGTCTCACCCGCTTGCCTTCCCCTTGCCGAGTGAGGGAGGTGTGTACCATCTCTCTCTCTGTTTTCTTTTTGTTTTATAAAACTATTTAAATACATCAAAACAACTTTTAATGAATGCAGTTAACAAAAACAGCACTTATATGAGGGCTCTAAGGTAGTTTTTTTCCTTTTCTTTCTTTCTTTTTTTTTTAACTTTTTAAAATTATTATTAACATTTTATGATACAGTTCCACAGGCCCCTCCCAGAATTCCCTCCCTCACCCCCACTGAGTTCCCCTATATCATTACTATAGCATAGTTCTTCATCAACAGTCGTATTCCATCATTGCGGGCATGGACACTGGCAAAGAGCCCCGCATCCTATTGTCAAGATATATCCAGTTGTTTCATTGGGAGTCCATTTTTGGAAGTAGAGATGCATACTGCATTGTATGCTCACATGTGGGTATGATAGTCTCCGTTACACAGGTACTGTGCATCCCCTTAAATGACAAGCCACAAAACAAAGTCAACAACAGGAAGGAAAAGGAATTAACACCATGAAGTTAAATAACATGCTACTGAATGACTAATGTGTCACTGAAGAAATGAAAAAGAAAATCAAGAACTTTTTGAAGAAAATGATGCCACTGTGTGATCTCTGAGTCAGTGAAGAATTTAATGAGAAAGCATTTTGAAGAGATGAAACTAAATTAAAAAAAAAATCAGCATCCATGAGATATAGTTTCCGCTGATCTTTGTTGGTGAGATATGTCTTTGGTAGGCAACAAATAGATGGGTTTTGTTTTTTTAATCCAGTCTACTAATGTATGACACGTGATTGATGAGTTTAAGCTACTGTCATTCAGGGTTATTATGAATGGGTAATTTGGTTCTGTCATTTTAACAATGGATTTTTTTCCTTTTTCAAGATCTATTTATATTTATTGGAAAGTCAGATTTACAGAGAAGAGGAGAGACAGAGAGGAAGATTTTCCATCTGATGATTTACTCCCCAAGTGGCTGCAACAGCCGGACCTGAGTTGATCCCAAGCCAGGAGTCTCTTCCAGGTCTCCCATGCGCATGCAGGTCCCAAGGCCTTGGGCCATCCTTGACTGCTTTCCCAGGCCACGGGCAGGGAACTGGATGGAAAGCGTGGCTGCTGGGATTGGAACTAATGCCCATATGGGATCCCTGTGCATTCAAGGCGAGGACTTCAGCAATGGATTGTTCATTGATTTAGTCTTCTGTTGTTATTTTACTGGAATGTTCTTCACATTTGCCTTTGGTTTTAGTGGGTGCTATTCCTCTCCTCTGTCATGAGAACATCTTTAAGTATCCTTTGTAGGACGGGTTTGGAAGAAGCATACTCTTTTAACTTTTTGTTACTGTGGAAGAATTTTATTTTCAAAGTCAAAGGAAAACTTTGCTGGGTACATTATCCTGGGCTGACCATTTTTTGCTTTTAGAATCTGGAATATGCTACTCCATTCTCTTCCGCCGGTAGACCTGTGAGAGATCTCCTGTGAATTTAATTGGCATTCCTTTATGCCAGTTGATTTTTTTTCATGAGCACATTTAAGGATCTTTTCCTTATGTTCAATTGAAGAGAACTTGATTATCATGTGCTGTGGTGAAGATCACTCTTGGTCAACCCTGTTGGGAGTTCTGTGTCCCTCCTGGATGTTGTTTCCCAGTTATTTCTCCAGATGATTTTTGGTTATTCTCAAGTTCAAATAATTCAAAGATTATTCTCTAGGGAAAATTTCCCTTATTATTTTATTGAGTATACCTTTAATCCCAGCTTCTCTTTCTGCACCTTCTGGGACTCCCGTAACTCTTACATTTGGCCTTTTAATAGTGTCTTTCAATTCTTGAATACTTTTTTTTTTTAGCTGTTCGAGCTCTGCTTCCAGCTTTTTGTTTGTTTTCTTCTGGTGACAGGAAATATCTTCCAATTCTGAGATTCTTTCTTTTGCTTCATCCATTCTATTTTGGAGACTCTCTACTGTACTTTTAATTTTTTCCACTGTGTTCTTCATTTCTGATATTATCAGCTTTCATTTGATTCATTTCCAGTGTGACATATTCCTTAAATTCCTTGAATGCCTGCTTTATGTACTTCTCATTGTTGATAAGAAGTTTTTTTTTGAAGATTTATTTTTATTATTTTTTATTGGAAAAGCGGATATACAGAGAGGAGAGACAGAGAGGAGAGACAGAGAGGAAGATCTTCCGTCCAATGATTCACTCCCCAAGTGAGCGCAACGGCCAATGCTATGCCGATCCGAAGCCAGGAGCCTCTTCCAGGTCTCCCACTGGGGTGCAGGGTCCCAAAGCCTTGGGCCGTCCTCGACTGCTTTCCTGGGCCACAGGCAGGGAGTTGGAAGGGAGACTGGGCTGCCGGGATAGAACCGGCGCCCATATGGGATCTCAGGCATGCAAGGCGAGGACCTTAACCTCTTGTGCCACCACGCTGGGCCCGATAAGAAGTTTTATAACAAGTGTTTTGAATTCGGTATCCCCCATTTTCTCAATGTCTTCCTCGGTGAACTCTGCGGTTGGCAAAAGTTTTTGTTCCTCTGCATGGGAGTCTTCAGTAATATTCATTGTGCCTCTCTCTCTTCTTATGCTCTTGGTCATTATACTTTTGGTTATCACATTCTTCTCCTTGAGGCAGGTTTCTAAGCTTTGTCACACACAGGTCTACAGTCCACTTTTACTTATTGTAATTAGTACACAGCTCTTTGTTTGCAGTCACTTGTGCCACTCCCTCCAGTGAGATTGGATCTGGGTTCTTATGTTAGATTTCCACCATGGTCTCTGTAGCCCCAGCTCCTAGCTCACCAGTCTTCACCTCCTGTGATATCTTGATGAGGCTGCACCATTGTCCATACAACTTTCTCCCACTTCCAGTTGGAACAGATCCCATTATTAGGGAGACGCCATGTGTCCTATATAGCTAGGTTGTTGGTGGTGCTAATCTTGTAGGACCCTGTTGGCCGTTAGGTCTGAGGGTCATAGGGACCTATTTTGACCCATACAATGCCATTGTTGATATTATTTTCCTGTGGGACCAATACAGTGCACTGAGCTGAGTCTCTCCCTGCTCAGCACATACGCAGCTCACTGTTGTCCCTGCGATCTTAAATTCTTTACCACACTGTACGAAATGGCACCTTATGTGCCACTACTAGAGTTCTTGATCTGCTGGCCGTCAGGTCTGAGGGCTACCTGGACCTGTCTTGGGTGGAACTGTAGGATGCCAAGTTGTTGCAGCTCACTGAGCCAGAAATGCGATCACTCCCAGCTCAGTGCACGCAAAGTTCTGTCCCAAACCCTTTGTCTCCCTATATAAAATGGCGCCCAGTTCGGATCTCGGGGCTAGAATGGGCTGTGAAATCCACCCTGTTCCTGCACCACCCATCTGTGGCCTGCCGCTCTGTCTCTGCTCTTGGTCAAATCAAACAGACCAGCAGGATGGACAGTTCTTTGTCTGGGTTCATCTCCTGAGCTCCCAGTAAACTTCCCTTCGTACCTTGTTGCTGGTGGAGTTCCAGCTGCCAGTGCAGTTCAGATAACCGTGCTGAATGCCACCGGGGTGTCCATCACTGCAACTCCACACCGTTGTGTCTGTTGCTTTCTTGTGTCTGTCAGTCTCTAAGTGCCCCTCTGCTGTCATTCTGTCCTCTGCTATTTCCTGGAATTTGCCCTCTTTGCTTCACATTGGCTAATATTTCTCTGTGTGTTTAAACGTGTCTACCATTTTCCGCCATCTTGATTCTGTACCATCTTTTGAGAAGGAGGCCTGATCAACACATGGGGTGCAGTTGTTTCCTGTCAGTTTGGAAAAAAAAAATGTTAGTCACCAGTGTAGGTGGCTAGGTGAGGAAGTGAGAACTGTGAGATACTCTTTATGGGGTCTGTGTTCAACATGGTGGGACCTTTCTTGGGGCCGTGGGGCAAGTGCAGGCTGGTACAGGCACTAATCCACTGTGGAAGTCAGTGTGGAGAGTGCCTGCAGAGCTCCAGACGAGCCTGCCGTACGACCCAGCCATCTCACTGCTAGGAATGTGTCCAAAGGAAAGAAACACTACATATGAGAAAGGGATTTGTAATCCTATATTTATTTATTTATTATCTTTAAAGATTTATTTTTATTGGAAACTCAGATTTACAGAGAGAAGGAGAGACAGAGAGAAAGATCTTCCATTTGCTAATTCACTCCCCAAGTTGCTGCAACAGCCAGAGCTGAGCTGATCCCAAGCTAGGAGCTTCTTCCTGGTCTCCCATGTGGGTACAGGGGCCCAAGGTTTTGGGCTGTCCTCGACTGCTTTTCCAGGCCACAAGCAGGGAGCTGGATGGGAAGTGGAGCCACCGGGATTAGAACTGATACCAATATAGGATCCCAGCACATGCAAGGCAAGGACTTTAGCCACTAGGCTACCAACACTGGGCTCCTGTAATCCTATATTTATAGCAGCACAATCCACAATAGCAAAGACGTGGAAACAATCCAGATACCCATTTTAAGAGGAATGGTTAAAGAAACTGTGTTGTATCTACTCTGTGGAATACTACTTGGCCATTAAAAAAGAATGGAATTCTGCCATTTGCAAGCAAATGGTTCCAACTAGAGACCATTCTGTTCAGTGAACTGAGCCAATCCCAAAAGGACAAACACCACATGTTGTCACCGACATTCGGCACCTTCAACCCATGGGCTTTGATACTTTTTATTTTCATTTCTTCAAAGTAGTTTCTTTTTTCTTGTTAAATTCTTTACTGACTCATACATCACACAGTAGCATCATTTTCTCCAAGAAGTTATTTTGTTTTCTTTTTTATTTTCTTTGTTGACATATTTGTTATTCAGTAAGCCTTTTGTTTTATGTTTATTCCTGTTGTTGATTTTGTTTTTTGGCTTCTCATTTAAGGGGACGTACAGTAACTGTGTAATGGAGACTATCATATCCAGATGTGAGGATACAATGCAGCATGCATCTCTACTTCCAGACAAAGATGGGCTCCCAGTGAGACTGTAAATACATCTTGACAATAGGATGCTGGACTCTGCCAGTGTCTGTACTGGCAGTGTCAGGACACACTTAAATAGCAGAATGGTGGACCTGGACTACTTATGAAGGACTGTACTATTGTAATAGTAGGGGGGAAGTAAGTTGGGGAAGGGAACTTGAGGAGTGGGTAAGGGAAATCCCAGAGCCTGTGGAATTGAATCACAAATTAAAAATAAAATAGAAGGAAAAAAAAACACTAAAAAAAAAAAGGGATGTGTGTTCCTCAGTGCCCTGCAAACACAAGATGTGTGGGTGCACAGGTCTCCAGGGCCTCATGCCATGCAGTGTTCAGAGCAGTGATGCCCGCAGCACTGGGAGACAGGCCATGCATGGCCAGTGGCCTCAGGATGCAGGCCTGCTGGCGGGCACTCAGGTTTGCAGCGCAGCCCTGTTGGGTGAGGGGTGGGAAGTGCCCGACGGGGCGTGGGGAGGCAAAGTGCGCACTGTGTAGTCACGTGTTTTGAGCAGGGAGGGGTACGTGGAGCATCAGAAAGGCAGCCGTGGGGTGCTGGTTCTTCATAGAGGCTAGTAATGAGGAAATAGCTATTGGGATGGCGGCAGAGTAAGCCCTTCCACGGCACCAGGAGGGTCCTGGGGGCTAGGCTGGGTGGTGGTGGCAGCCCAGGAGGGTCCTGGGGGCTAGGCTGGGTGGTGGTGGCAGCCCAGGTGTCTTGGGAGAAAGCAGACTAAAGATGTTGAAAGCATCTTTATTTTCTTCCTATTTGAATGTTCTAGGCAGCCATGTTGCTTTTGTGGTGAGGTAAATTATGCTGTGCAATTTTTCTGTTTTTAAGGACATGACTGATAATAGCGGCAATCAGCTGGTTGTACGGGCAAAGTTTAATTTCCAGCAAACCAACGAAGATGAACTGTCCTTTACGAAGGGAGATGTCATCCATGTCACGCGTGTGGAGGAAGGCGGCTGGTGGGAGGGCACGCTCAACGGCAGGACAGGCTGGTTCCCCAGCAACTACGTGCGCGAGGTCAAGCCCAGTGGTAAGTGGTGGAGGGAGCTCGGTTGCCAAAGGCTGGCTGCTGGTAGAACTTGGTGTTGGGGGGCCTGGGCCGGGGACCCCGTGTGGTGCTGTGGAGCCCACAGTGGCTCTGGTTCTAAGCCGTGTTGTCTGCCTTGGTGGCCTTGCTGTTGACCTTCTGTGTCATCTCACACCTGCTGATCTTGACTGTTGCACTTTGTGGCTGTCATTACAGAGCTGACTTTGCTGTTGGCTGTCCTGTGTGTGCGCACGAGTGAGCCCTGCGTGCGTGCAGCAGAGCTGTTTGCAGGGCTGCCGTGTGCTGCCGTGGAGGCAGCGTGCTTTGGAAGTTTCCCATTCAGCGCATGTGTTGATCCTGTGTGGCAGCCACATGCTGTTCTGAACGAGCTTTGGTGGGCTGTTGATCCTTGGCTTGGCCTCTTCGGGGTGGCATTCTGTCCTTCACGTGCTCTCGCCACGTCGTGTGCAATGGGGACATCCAGCGGACGCAGGTGTTTGAGTTGTGCTTGGACAGGCCTGGGCATCCAGGCTCAGCATTAGCTCTCAGGCCTCTGTGGCGTCTTGCTTCTGGGGTGAGCTCCCTCCTTGGAAAGGAGGTGGCTGGTGTCACTTGTCATTTCGTAGCCAGCAAGTGCTGACCTTTCAAAGAGTGACACAAGCCACTCCAGGTGGCAGCACCCTGGGTTGTGTTCCCTGGACAGTGCTGAGCCTGTTAGCTCCAGGGCTTCTGTCATTGCATCGTGGTTTGGCTCGATTGCACATCAATCTGACGAACGTGCTGCTGGGTGCTTCCCTGGGGAGTCAGGACGGTGTGTGTCCTGAGCGCAACAGCCTCCTGGGAGGATGTAATGGCTGCTCAGCATCCGTTCTCTCTGAAGCCAATGGATTGCTGCTTCATTTTACACACACAGACACATGTGTGGGTGCAAGGAGAGAGAAGCAGCAAGGCCTCCTCTGGGAGCGAGGGGTGCTCATTACTACATGAACCTGGGGCACCGAGTCCTGGGCAGTCAGTGTGCTGTGGAACGAGCTGGGCAGCTGAGGACGGCATGGCTGGCCATGCGCTGCCGGGACTGGAGCACGCGTGCTGTGTGCTCGCCAAGGCTCATCTCACGTGGCCGTTCCTCGGGTGCTGGCTGCAGTCTCCCGCCCCTCAGTGGCTTGGGAAGTGGTGTTCAGGGGAAGTGTCTCGAGCTGGGTAGCATGCCTCAATGACTAACAACCCGCGCCTGGCAGGAGTGTGAGGTTCAGACCCACATGCTGGTCTGCGTAGGTGATGAGCACGCGCCTCATCACGTGCGCACCACACAGTGGACCTTACACTTAATTGAGCTGACGCAGTAGGCTCTGTGCAGAGCTGGCACGGGGCCGCCTGTTAGGCCAGGTGCGCGTGAGCGCTGTGTGACACAGGTTGTTGCTAGAGTGGAAGGCCGTGGTGTGCTGGATGGAGCCTGGCGGCGTGTTGGCAGCCCAGCATGGGCACAGAGGTGCCGACTGGGTGGAAGGGGACATTCCTGTGGATTACCATCCCACGTGAGCATATGCTGCCTTCACGGTGCCTGGTGGTACACGGGCTGTCGGGGCATCCGTCTCGTCTCAGGACCAGGTCCTGTGGATCCATTGCAGTGGCGCTCGAGGGCTGGTTGTTAGTGTTCACGTGGGACGTGGAGCTCTGTGACTGGAGATGGTTACCAGCCTCCCGCCCCCAGGCAGCCGAGGATCTCCTGGGGCCTTTGCATCTAACCTATGGCGTCTTCCCTTCCCTTCCTCCGGGATTGCTCTGGTTCTAAGTACACGCTTTGTTGATGCATTTGAAAGACAGAGTGACACAGAGATAGGCACCTTCTACTTGCTGGTTCACTCCCTGCATGGTTGTGGTTGGGCTGGGCCAGGCTGGAGCCAGAGCTAGGAACTCTAGCAGGGTCTCCCGCATGGGTGGCAGGGACCCACACACGTGGGCTGTCCTCCACTGCCTTGCCAGGCACCTTAGCAGGAGCAGCTCGGTGGGAGCTGGCGCTCACCCAAGGTGCCAGCTGTATAGCTCGTGGTGGGACCCATGCCTCCCAGCCCTGGCCCCTTATGTTAGCAGGTGGCTCTTGCATGGCCCATGTCAGCACTGCTGTCCACTGGCTCCCGTGTATTTTGTATTTCATTGAAGATGTACGTGACTGCTTGGTGTCCCTGCTGTGACCTATGAACCCCCTCGTCCCTTTGTCTCCCTGTCCTGTCTTACCAAGGTGGTCATTGTGTTTGTCCCTGAAGCCGCAGGCAGCATCGAGGGAGCAAGTGTTAGCTCGAGGGGCTCGAGGGGCACAGAGAAGTGTGGCAGTGCGCTCTCTGCCCAGATACTGGCACATGCCCGGGGTGCCCTGAGGAGCAGGTGAGGCGAGCCAGAAGGTGGCTGCCCCAGTACAGGAAGAAGGGGCATGGGCAGGGTGCAGGGGAAGTGTAGGCACACCTCCAGGCTGCGATAGGCCAGCCACCAAAGCCAGGGGTGTGCCAGATGGGGAGATGTGTCAGGCGGAGGAGGCACAGCTACTGAGGCCAGGTGTGTGTCAGGCGGAGGAGGCACAGCTACTGAGGCCAGGTGTGTGTCAGACGGAGGAGGCACAGCTACTGAGGCCAGGTGTGTGTCAGACGGGGGAGGCACAGCTACCGAGGCCAGGTGTGTGTCAGACGGAGGAGGCAGTGTGCCTCACAGGGAGGTGCCCCATGGTATATGCCCGGTGTCTCCCCAGCCTATGCTACCTGCTCAGCACCTCCCCCTGGCCCACACTGCCCGCCCAGCTTCTTCTCCACCCGTGCTGCCAGCCCCAGGCTGTCTGCTTAGCTCGTTTCTTTCCGCTGCACGTGCTGTTGACCTGAAAGTCCTTAAGTCTCTTGCTTTTAGGGTGGTGGTCCCTTCCTAGGAGACCTCCCCCCATCCCTGGTGTTCTCTGATGAGCCCTCTGAGTGGTGCGGGTCATAGTGCTGGGGCTGGGTGCTCAGCGGGCCATGTCCTGTGTTTGAGCGCCATTGTGCTCTCTGAGTCCTGGGGCTCAGTATAGCCTGAAGCCGGTGTGGTTTCCAAGGTGCTGACTGGCATGGCGGGTAGCACTTGGCCGGCTGCTCCTGCCAGGCCTGCAGCTGGAGGGCCCTGGGCAGCGGGAGGACCCCATGCGGTTGCTGTCATTGGTACTGATCACTAACTGGGTTTCTGTTTCAGAAAAGCCAGTGTCTCCCAAATCAGGAACGCTGAAGAGCCCTCCCACAGGATTTGATGCAACTGCCATTAACAAAAGCTACTACAACGCGGTGAGTGGTCGCCGTGTCCTTTGAATGTCTGTGAGACTCAGGGACGCAGGTGCAAGACACCAGCTGCAGCATGAGGGACAGAGTGACAGGGAAAGAGACAGGAGTGCTCGCGTGTGTTTTCTTCTAATCTCTTTTTATAATCTTCTGTTTTGGTTTTAATGTTGTATTTGTGGATTTATGTCCTTCTCTTGTATGTCACGGTAGCATGCTTGTTCCTGCAATTTAGCAAGTTACCAAAAACGAGCTCTTACTTATTAAAGTGTTTGTTTCCTGGACACCCAGAGGCACACACTGGATGGAGAGCTCGGCCGATAGCGGAGTTGCTTCCTGGGCAGCCTGGGGCCACAGTGGTGTGCCAATATCCCACGGCCTGGATGGAGGATGTCTCCACGTTGTATGTGCTCAAGACCCTCGGATCTGTTTGCAAACTAAGCATTAATTTGTGAGCTTAGGAAATGTCAGCATTAATAAATCTGTAAGCTATTGTCCTAGTAACTGTCTTTGCTACAGAACTAGAAAATATTGTTTATTTCAGTGCCAGTCCAAGGTGCTGACACAATGACAGCCACAGGGATGTTGTAAACGTGGGGGTGTCTTGTGTGTTGGTCTTGCACGAGACCGCTTGCCTTCCAGTCCCTGACTCCCATGGGCAGGGCTGTAAGTGGGAATCCGGGTGGGGTTTGGGTCTTGATGGAGGCAGCACTTGGTTGGTGCTGGGTCTCCCTTGCCTCTGTGGAGAGACAGGGGACCCACAGCTAGTTTTGTGTGGGAGTTCTGCCTGTGGACTCCCACGCACACACACCCCAAGATGAAGACGGGCTACAGAAAGTGAGACTCCAAGCGTGGGTCCTAGGAGGAGGCCTGGAGCACCTGTGCTGCCTGCCCTGGCAGGAGACGGCCTGTGGGCTGTCCGTGGGCCACTGGAGATCAGCAAGGGAGCTCCACTGCTGCTGTGGTCACAGCAGAGACCCCCCACCCCTGCTCCCAGCAAGAGCTGGGCAGACGGGAGGGAAGCCTGGGCGTCTGCTGAGTGTGCTGCTGGTAAGGGCTGTGCCCACTGGCCGGCTCAGCGGCACCTGAGGTCGTTGGCGTGGCTTTCTGGGCGTCCCTTTCCTCTCGTCTTCCTGTGGGAAATGTGGGTGTCGAACAGAGATGTGCAACAGTGGGCCAGAGAACGAGTGTCTTCTGGTGTAGTGTGTGTGAGAACACGTGTTAGGAGTTGTGCATGCCAGCAGAGCCTCGTGGGGCCTCTGCTAGTGCTGGGCACAGCCAGGCTGCCCGGGCTGTGGTTTCTCTGCTCTGTGGACTCTGGCTCTGTTCAGTTTTCCAGCGTCTGTGCACAGAGTGAACATCTCTTGTCTGCAGCAGCAGCAGGTCCGCTGAACCTGTCTGGGAGACGCCTGCTTCTACACCCTTGCTGCTGTCAGCGGGGCGCAGGCGTGGCGGCTTTCACAGAGCTCCCGGAAGGTTCTCGACTCAGATGGCTGCAGAGACTAATGAGCTTGTCCAGGGTCACACAGGCTCAGTGCTGAGGCCGGGGCTGAAGCGATGCTGCTGGCTCTTGTGTTAGCGATTGTACAGAGGCAGCACAGCACTCGGGCCGCCTCGCTCTCCCTTTCCAGTTTTGTTTCCTAGGAAACTGCTGAGGGCTTGGGCAGTTTTAGTCCTGCTCAGAGTTCACTGGGGGCCCATTAGCATGCCGAGTGTGTTCCAGAGCACTCCAGTCGTGCCGAGGACCCAGGACCCTGTGGGGTGGAGCTGTGGGTGGAGGACACAGACTAGAGGGGATGGTGTGCATCTTCTGCTGTTGGGTCATGCTGAGGACAACCCCAAACCTGACCGTTGGGCACTCACGGTGTGGCCCGTCGTGGGACTGACCGCTGGGCACTCACGGTGTGGCCGTGGCCCTCTCTGGGATGTCTGTGTGTTTGCTGTTGAGGACAGCCGCAGCCAGCGGGAGCACTCTAGAGCACTCTAGCTCCATGCATTTTTTCTTCCTGGCCTTCAGACAGTAGACCCTCTCCCAGTGCTGCTGCCTTTGCTTCCAGTGTGGGTGTGTTCTTCACCACACTGGTCAGTTCTCTGTTGCAGTGAGGCCTCTCAGTTTGCACTGCTGGCCACGTGTAGGCTGCATCCGAGGCCTGTCTCCTGGTCTGCTCTCTGCCTGCAGTCCCTGGCTATGCTCAGAACTTTTTTTTTTTCAAGGTTTGCTTATTTTTACTGGAAATACAGAGTATTTATTTATTTATTTATTTTAATTGGAAAGGCAGATATGCAGAGAGGAGAGACAGAGTGAAGGGGAGACAGAAACACCTTCCATCTGCTGGTTCACTCCCCAGATGGCCACAGTGGCTGGAGCTGAGCCAGTCCAAAGCTAGGAGCCAGGAGCTTCTTCTGGGTTTCCCATATGGGTGCAGGGTCCCAAGGCTTTGGACGTGCAGCTCCACTTCTCCCTGAGAGTGGCTTCACTGTCTTCCGAGATGCAGCAAGCACCAGTGGGCCACAGGAGCCCTTGGATGATTCTGCAGGGACACGGGGAAATGGCCTACTGGGAGCTTTGTGTGTTCTGTGGGTCATGTGGGGTTGGTTGGACATGACTTGTTTGTAGCAGAGGCAGGTGCCAGAAAGGGCACCAGGCTCAGTGATCCCCGTGAACGAGCGCCACGTGGCGGGATGGTGACGTGCTGCCAGAGGGCATCGCCTTCTCTGCTGTCCTCCGATCCTTGGCAGTCCTAGCTTGCTGCCCTCGGCCACAGGCCAGCGGGGGCTCCGGGCCATGTCCTGGCTCTGCCCTGGCTCTGCCGAGCACCGCCTTTGAACCTCTGGCAGAGGGCAGAAGTGCCACCATTGGTCCCTGGAGTGGGAACAAGCCTGTGATGTGCAGTGGGGCTCTGTCCTGGAGAGCCTGCTGCCCTGGGTGGGTCACACTGTCCTTGCCAGCAGTGCCAGGGCTCTTGGCGGGTGCTGAAAGCTTCTGCGTTGGTTCAGCCGTGCGCTTTGTCTCGATCTATCAGGTGTTAATGGTAGATGAGTTTGGACTAAAGCTGAGCTACAACAGGACATTTAGTTTTGAGGTTGACAGAGATGGCTGTCCAATGGGTTTATCTAACGGCAAGTGTGGGCTGTTCACACAAGGGTGTTCACTGAGGAAAGCACAAATGGATTTCAGATTTTACAGGCTGTCTTAGTACTAAACTTCTGCCCTTTTAATTGATGTGTATTTTATGTTTCTCAAAACAAATGAGTTTGATGAGTTCTGAGGACTGTCTATAAATATGGCCCGGGTCCAAGCATTCTGTCCTTGTGACTTCCTCCCTGTTGTACTCCCCCAGCACACACGCACACAGACACACACGCATGTGCACCCCCGTGCACACACACACCTCTTCTCTGGCTGGTTGGCTGCTTGGGTCTCTGGTATGGGACTTGCTGTCCGTGTAGTCATGCAGGCTGCACTCGTGTGATTGGTCCCTTGCGTGTGATGGAGCCGTGTGGGGGTGGAGCCGTGTGGGGGGTGGAGCCGTGTGGGGGTGGAGCCGTGGGGGGTGGAGCCGTGAGGGGGTGGAGCCGTGGGGGGGGCTGGAGCCATGGGGCTGTGCTGCCTGGACCGTCTGTGGTCCCCCTCTCTTTTCACTTTGCCCTTGCTCGTGTGATAGCAGAGTTGGTCGTGGCCTCGCTGTGGGCAGCCCTGCTCAGCTATAGGTGGCCTGTGTGGGGACTGTGGGCCAGGTGAGCCCAGTGTAGGAGCCCCCGCTGACCAAGCTGCCCGAGGTCACATGTGCTGGCAGCCTTGGGATGCAAGTAACACGTGTTCATCATTTTTGTAGGTGCTACAGAATATTTTAGAAACAGAAAATGAATATTCTAAAGAACTTCAGACCATGCTGTCCACCTATCTCCGGCCGTTACAGACCAGTGAGAAGTAAGCTAGATGATAAGTTTTGGATACTCACACTTCAGGCGTGTTTTCAGAGAATGAGGTTGGAATGTTGGAGTGGCAGTCGGGGCAGTTGCCTCCGATGGGCGGCTGGGGCGGGAGGGCAGGAGAAGTGTTGACATGTTTTTACTTTGATTTTTCTTGGCTCTAGGTTAAGTCCAGCCAACACTTCATCTTTAATGGGCAATCTAGAGGAAATCTGTTCTTTCCAGCAGATGCTTGTACAGTCTTTAGAGGAATGCACCAAGTAAGTAAGACACTTCCTGCAGGGTGCGCACGTGGGCACAGGCCTACATGAGGTTAGGATTCAAATTTCTAAAAGTTTAAGATTGTTCTAAATCTTTTGGGTGGGTCACTTTTGTAGTAGAAACTATATATTTTTTTCCCAAAATGTCTTCAAATACCATTTTGTGTTGTTAAGTCTTAGGTAAGTAATTGTATTTGGTGAACTGCCCTAAATGTGTAGACCTGCCAGTCATTGAATTCTCACAGCTTTGCCAGCTCTGATCTGTTTCATTCATTTATATATATGTGTGTGTGAATTTCTAAAAAGATATAAATGTCTGCATTTAACTTCTGTGGAAGGCTGAGTTAGAGGAGAAGAGACACAGGGAATCTTCTCTCTACGGTTTTGCTTTCTTAATGGCCATAACAACTGGGACTGGGCCAGCTGAAACCAGGAGCCTGGAGCTTTTCTTGGGTCTCCCTCTGGGTATATAGGCCAAGCACTTGGACCACCTTCCACTGCTTTCCCAGGCTGTTAGCAGGGAGCTGGGTCAGAGCACCCGGGCTTGAACTGGAGCCCATATGGTGGGAGCACTTGTTAGGCCACGACTTAGGCCCCCTGATGTCGGCCCATTGCGAAGCCCAGAGAGGCCAGCTAGGAACTGGATGGTGGGTGACTTCCCCGAGGGTGCACTGCAAGTAGCTGGAGTGTGGAGGGCAGGACTCGGTAATGGGCAGACGTCTTGCTCCTTTCTGAGAATCTCTGATGGCACTTCCACGCTTTGGGGTTGGCAGCACCTGGCACCGTGGGTACTTGTCTGGCCCTGGCCCTCAGACTTCTCCTGGCCAGCTGAGGCTTGATGTGGACACTGCCTGCTCATGCTAGGAACAGGACCCTGCTTGAGGCTTAGTGACGGGAGAGGCCACAGTCAAGGTGAAGATCCCCGTAAGGGACTTTACATCGGGGAGAATTCCTTCTGTGATTCACTCTAGATCTTGTTGCGTTGGTCTCAGGAGGTGAAACTGTGGCCATAGAACTGCTTCTGTGGGAAGTTGAAGCTGGGAGTCTAGCTGTGTCTGCACCCCATTTGGAGGTCAGGGCTTTACCTGCATCTTAGTGTGAAAAGCAGGTCAGACTGTCAGAAGTAGAGTTTTTTTGGAATATCCTGGATATTGTGTTGCCGGAGTCCAGCTCCAGCTGAGTTCAGAACTCGCAAAGGGTGCGTGGATGAGGCGCAAAGAGGAAAGAAAGACGGACCACTAGGATTCCATGATCATAATGGACAATGCGGGAAAGCTGTCCGCTTTATTTATACAAAATCAGCCAAACTCTGGCTCAGACTTTTTACGTCATGGTCAAGTGGGTGTTTCTAAGGATAATTCTGCCATTAGTTTTACCTAGAAACGATAGAAGTTCCTGCTACAATTCTTATCCTGCAACTCAATCTTGTATCACAAAGAAAAGGGGAATCTAAAGAATGAGGAAAGAATGAAAGCCTAAATATAGGTCCCTTGATTAGCATAAGGTCAATGGGGACAGCCAAGACAGTAGGAATAATAGTAGGTAGGCCCTTTTTGCAAGATAACCTCCAAGCTCACATTGAGTGAGAGGCCAACCTCACAGTAGCAAACAATGCCTGGATGGATTAGAATTCCCCGGCAGGGTGGTCCGGTGTCCATGCAAAAGAAGGTGGAGCTGCATTCATGTGGCTGCAGAGATGTCCGAGGGTCCCTGCCAAACAGCGGGAAGTTCCCTGTGGTCCTGCCTGCAATGGGACAATACCCTTCACACCTTCGTGACCCCCACATCCACTGCACGGACCCTAACATTGTGTCATTGCTTTTAAAAATTATTTGATAGTTTTAATTTGTGTTTATTTGAAACACAGAGCATTCAACAGGGAGAATTCCCAGCTGCTGGTCCATGCCCCCAGTGCCCACAGCAGCTGGTGCTGGGCCTGACTTGGTCTGGACCTTCTGCTTGGGCAACAGCAGCCCAGCTGCTGACATCCCCTCTGCTTCCAGGGCGAGCTGGATTGGGAGCAGAGACGGGATTCAAACCTGGCACTCCAGGATGTGGGCTGAGTGACCAAGTGGCATTTGTTTTAAGATAATTATTTTTGTTTTTGATGATTTTCGCATAGTTGATTAGGGTGCGGAGGGTCAAGGGCTACAGGAGGTCGGTGAGGCCAGTATTTCCACATTCTCTGTTTTTCCTTCCTGTATCTGGGATAAGGGGAAAGGAGAAACCATACCAGCCTCCCAACCACCTCAGTGCCCTGGGATGGAGGACAATCACCCAACACCATCCCAGGGTCCCCGCTGAGGGTATGCTCTGAGGGCCTTACTCAAGAGGTTTTGATAATTCAGGAGTTCTGAATTACTGCTGATCTCACCACTCCAAGCACAATGAAATCTCTCCAGAATCCACTGATTGATATAGTTCAACTTTGAGTCTCTGTTTGTCCAGATACTCACTGCCAGCACCTGACTGGGGTAGTTGATTGATTTGTTCTGTCCTCTGTCCTCTACCATGGTACCAGGTGTCCTCTGCAGACTCCAGTGTACTGCCATATCCTCATGCGCACCTGGATATGCTGTCCACTGCTCCGTCTGAGCCACTGAGGAGGCTCAGCTCTCACACATGCACTCCACAGTCAGACCATGGAACCTGCAATTCTCTCCATGATTGGGATTCTGAGTCCAGCGATTTAGTTGGGGGGATCCCCAAAGAAACTTCATATGAGGTGATCCCAGATCTGATTCTTGTGTGTGTTTGCCAGCACAGGGTCTGGCACAGTCTGTCACCCCAACTGGCTTATGCACACGCTGGTGGTTGCAGTTGCTGGATCAGTTCTGTCTCCAGCCCTGTCTTCTACACAAACCAGTGGGTATTGCAGCCCATCCTGATCCTGTCCACCACACACTGCCCACATTATGCTAACCAGTGGGAGCTGCAGCCTAATCGGAGCGACCCACAATAACCCCTACCAGGCCTGCCCCCTGCCCTGGTTCCCATGCTTACCAGCATGCACAGCAGACTGGTTCAGTCTGTCCTACATCCCATTCAGCTCTCATAGATGTCAATGCGCATTGAAGCCCAGTTCAACCCAACCAGCCCCACTATCCAGCCCATACACGTGCTGGCTGGTGCACTCTGTCTAGCCATGCCTGTCCTGGTTCTTGTGTTCAAGTCGGAGTGGCAACCCAAGAGGGAGGTGCCCACTATTTCCCTCCTGGGTCACTCCCATTCTCGGATCATGTGTTCTCCAGGTTTAACTTGACAGAATTTGTCCTTTGTGCCAGGCCAACCAATCCTCACCTGCTCTGACTTATGCATGCACCAGTAGGAACAGTCAGCTCAGCTTGGCTTTCGATCCAGCTCACATGAGGCCCACAGGTGTTGTAACCCTGCCTGGCCTGGACTGCCCCCATCCCAACTCTCGCTCTCACCAGTGGGAATAATGGTGGTCCAACAGGGGAGCCCCATGCAGCTCCCTGACTGGCTACGCTTTTCCTCCCCGGGCCTCGTGTGCTGGTTGAGCGCTGTGGCCCAGTCTGGCATGGCCTGTCTCACCTCGGTATTTTCCAGTGGGTGCTGTAGCCTGGCCAGGCCTGACCTACCCCCAATTCCTGCTCATGCTGGTAGGGGGTACAGCCTAGCCCAGCACAGCCGGCCCCCCAATCCCGGCCCTCATGTCAACTGGCTTGTGCTGTGGCCAGACCCAGCCGGACCCACACTCCATTCTGGTGCTCAGATTCGCCAGGGGGTGATATGAACTGGCCCAACCTGTTTTACACCTGACCTGAGTTGAATGCTGATGGCTACCATTCCCTGGCCTGGTCTGGGTGGCTCACTATCGTGGTTCTTGCACTCACCTGCAGGGACTGTGGCCTGAGAAATTCCCCAAGCTCCTCCATCAGAAGCTCTCCCAGTGCCAGATCTCATGTCCATCGGTGGGTCCATGGGCCAACCCTACTCAGTCCACCTCCTGTCCTAGCAGGAACAGTGGCCTTTCCTGACCGGTCTTCACCCATTCTGGATTTTACTGTTGGGTGTTACAGTCCAGCCAAGCCTGGTTCACACCCAGACAGAGCTCACGTGTGGCTCAGCAGAGACCTAGCCCATCCTGTTCTATACCTACCCTGGTTCTCTTGCGCACCAGTGAGTGTTGGAGTCTAGCCCAGTCTGGCACATCCCAGACCCAGTCCATGCTTGTGCGAGGGACACTGCAGCCATGTCCAGACCAGATTGCAGCCCCGACTCTAACCCTTGCACTCACCAGTGGGAACCACAGCCCAGCCAGCGCGTCCCCTTTGCTTTCCAACCAGGCCTGTTCCCAGCCACAGATCTTGTGCATGCTCTTCTTGGCATAGTCCGTCACCTGTCTTGGCCTTTGCCTTGGATGCTGTAGCCTAGCCTGACCCGACCTGCCCCTAGTCCCAACTCTGACTGACAAGTGCTGGAACCTGTCCCTGCTGAGACTGCTCCCATCCCTGGCTCATGCAGACCCTGGTAGTTGTGACAGTCTAGCCCGGTTGTCCTGCCTGGTTTCTACACTAGCCAGTGAGCTAAGGTTTGCTTGGCCCTGTCCTGTCCACCCCCCTCTAAAACCAACCCACACACTTGCCAACGGATGGAGCTATCTTGCCTAGCCTGCCTGACCCCCAGATTGGCCCTGTCCGGGAGGCGTGGCCGCGTGGGTCAGCCCCTTATGTTTTCGTCCAGGTGCAGTAAGGCGACTCAGTTTTAGGAAGTGCCATGAACAGATCAGGGTATTTTGTTTCAGAAGCAGTTTGAAATCTCTGCAGATAGCCATATTTCCTAATTGTCCATATACATTGAAAAGTCAGGCTTTGTGTTTCCCCAGCCTGAAGTGCGTGTGTGTGGACGGGTGTGTGAGTCCTGATGCTATGGATGCTGCAGAAGGCAGAGCCGCCTCACAGGAGCTCCCCTGCTTGCCCTGTGTCATGGAGGGGGTCCTGCAGGGGTTCCTGGAGGCGTGTAGCCCGGGCTTCAGGAGGTGATGGCGTGGAGCGGTGTATGTCTGCCATCAGCAGAGCTCTGTGTGTTGGAAGCCTGAGGCCCCCTCTGCCTGCGTTGTGTCTGCAGGGTGCCTGAGGCTCAGCAGCGGGTCGGAGGCTGCTTCCTCACGCTGATGCCCCAGATGAAGCACCTGTATGTCACCTACTGTGCCAACCACCCCTCGGCAGTGAGCGTCCTCACGGAACACAGGTATGTCGTCCAGCTTCCCAACGGGGAGAGTGGGCAGCATGACAGGCACCTTCGTGACCCCCCGGGGTGGTGTTGGAGAAGGACAGGGAGCGAGACTTGGAGATGTGACACTGTGTTGTCACAAAAGACGGTCTCGCTTTGGCTTGGTGCCCGCTGAAGGCTGGTGGAAGGAACCTGTGGGTGCCATCGGGGCCGCGAGTTCTAGACACTGCTTTATGCCATGGCGGGCAGGGTAGGAGGGCAGGAACTGGGAGTCCACTGGCTCCTGTCGGCAGGTGCCCGCAAGGCGTGGGTGTGCTGCTTGTTCCATAGGCGAGTTTCCTGCAGATGGAGGAGGGTGCTGAGCCGCCTGAGCTCCGGGCTGGCGTCGCTGGCTGGGGGCATCCCCACAGGGAAGGAAGCACCTGTCTGAAGGGTGACGTGGGGCGGTGAGTGTGGGCGTGTTCTGAGGTGCTCAGGCTCTTGAGAGGGGTGCTCATGAGTGTGTGTGTGTTATGTGCGTGCGCAGTCTTTGCTGCTCTCCCCTTGATGACCGTTTGTATTGTGTCAGAGAGCACAGCGTTTCCTCAAGATAGCAAAAAAAAAAAAAAAAAAAGCCAACCCGGTTGTGTCTTTGTGTCTGCCCCACGTGGCCTGCCTGGAGCATGGCTCTGGCGGAGCCCTTGGCTGTGGCGCCCGTGAGGGGCCCAACAGCGGCTGTGCTGCCTGTCCTGTCCTGCCTGCGTGAGTGGGCAGGGGAGCCTGGCCTTTCCCATGCTGCTGGCACTGTAGGTCTGTTCTCGGACTGGGGTGGCTCTGGAGGGCCAATCGGTGTAAGTGCTGTGTGTGGGACAAGTCAGGATGTCCTTGTGCCGGGCCCTTGTGGCACGCTGTGGTCCCTGGTGCCTTGGCATTGGACGTGCCATGAGTCGCTGGAAAGGCTGCGGTTCTGTCTGAGTAGCTATAACCAGCTGCGCAGTGAAGCAGTGACCCAAGATGTATGTAGTTTCCTAACTGTGCGTGCATCTTTTGTCCTTGTAAGAACTTTGTGGGATGTTAGAAGTTATTTTGCTTATAAAATTTTGCTTTAAGCACTTAATTTTAGGGCCTTTCGTGGGGACGGCGAAGGTGACACACTTAATGTTGTTATTTTTCTCTGCTGCATAATTAGGAATTTCATGTGAATTCTCAGGTCGGTCAACAATGACCTGAATAGATTTTTCTTTGTTTTTGTCGTGGTAGAAAAGACGCTGCATGGTTTGATTTAAAGGTGCTGACATAAGCGTTCATGTCACAGGGCTTGGTTTCTATGACTCCCTGTTAACCTGTGGCTATATAGAGAAATGTTGGCAAAGCAGAAGTATCATGTGCTCCAGCCACTCACATTCCAGGGGTGGGGGTGGGGGGATTGACTTGGGGGGTCTTGAGGGTCTGTGGGCAGTGGGGTGCTGTGCAGGTGGGGCTTGCACCAGCATGGGCTTCCCACTGCTCCCAGGGCAGCTCGAGGGGTTCGGGGGGAGTTGAGTCATCTGTGGCCCGTGCACAGTGACAGGTACGTCATGGTGTCCCGACAGGGCATGTGTCAGGTGGCCACTGCTGCTGGCTTACTTGCCTGCTGTCCTTAGCAGCGAGAGTGGCAGGTGATGCTGGCAGTGCACTCTCCTTTGCCTCGCACCTGTCCCCCCCCAAGTGGGTGCTGAGGCCCGCAAGGGCTGCTCGGGGTCAGAAGTGAAGGCAGGCGACTGTCCTAGGTGCCCCAGGGGTACATGGGAGGGTGACACATGGCGAGATCTTGGAGCCCTTGCAGACTGGTTTCAATACCCCCAGTACTGTGGCTTGAGGGAAAGCAGTCATGGAACGTTACCTGTTTGCTGATGGATTCAGTAGTGAGGGGCTGGAGCCCTCAGACGCCCACCGCGTAGGCACTTGGCCAGGCCAAAGCCAGGAGCTGGGACTCGAACCCAGGCTCTCCATGTGGAATCCAGGCAGCTGAGTGCTTGAGCCATCGTCACTGCCTTGCAGGGTCTGCATCAGCAGGAAGCTGGGACTGCAAGTGGGGCCAGGACTCCAACTCAAGCACTTCATATGGAATTTGGGCGTCCCAACCTCTGTGCTCTGCGTGTTAGCCTCCACACCAGTGTCCACTTGTGGCCAGATGCTCACTCTGAAAAACAGCTTTTAGGAAGCACGCAAGTGTGGGCTCAGGCTGTAGAGTTGTGGGTTGCCTGTGAAAACACGTGTGTGCACCCATGCACAGACATAACGCCCTACTGCACCCTACTCTACGCTTATAAATGCTTCAGGGTTGTGCAGCAGTAATGCTTTTTTTTTAGATTTATTAATTTTTGGAAAGGCAGATATACAGAGAAAATGAGAAACAGAGGGAAAGATAATCTATCCACTGGTTCATTTCTCAAGCAGCCTCAATGTCTGGAGCTGAGCTGATTCGAAGCCAGGTCTCCCATGTGGCTGCAGGGTTGCAAGGCTCTGGACCGTCCTCAGCAGCTTCCCAGGCCACAGGCAGCGAGATGGAAGGGAAGTGGGGCAGCTGTAATTAGAACCAGCGCCCATATAAGATCTTGGTGTGTGCAAGGCAAGGGCTTTAGCCACTAGGCTGCTGTGCTGGGCCTGGCAGCAATGTTTTACATTGCGTCACTAGAAAGGGCTTTGATTCAGGATTAGGAAGCCTTTTATATGCACCTGTGTGCTCGTGTGTGATGTGTGTGAGTAGATGACACTGAAGACGTGTGTGTGTGTGTGAGAAGCTTTATATGTGCAGTGTGCTGTGTGTGTGAAGCCTTCTGTGTGCAGTGTGTATGTGAGAAGCCTTCTGTGTGCAGTGTGCTGTGTGTGAGAAGCCTTCTGTGTGCAGTGTGCTGTGTGTGAGAAGCCTTCTGTGTGCAGTGTGTATGTGAGAAGCCTTCTGTGTGCAGTGTGCTGTGTGTGAGAAGCCTTCTGTGTGCAGTGTGCTGTGTGTGTGAAGCCTTCTGTGTGCAGTGTGTATGTGAGAAGCCTTCTGTGTGCAGTGTGCTGTGTGTGAGAAGCCTTCTGTGTGCAGTGTGTGTGAGAAGCCTTCTGTGTGCAGTGTGTGTGAGAAGCCTTCTGTGTGCAGTGTGTATGTGAGAAGCCTTCTGTGTGCAGTGTGCTGTGTGTGTGAAGCCTTCTGTGTGCAGTGTGTATGTGAGAAGCCTTCTGTGTGCAGTGTGTGTGTGAGAAACTTTATATGTGCAGTGTGCTGTGTGTGTGAAGCCTTCTGTGTGCAGTGTGTATGTGAGAAGCCTTCTGTGTGCAGTGTGCTGTGTGTGAGAAGCCTTCTGTGTGCTGTGTGTGAGAAGCTTTCTGTGTGCAGTGTGTGTGTGAGAAGCCTTCTGTGTGCAGTGTGTGTGAGAAGCCTTCTGTGTGCAGTGTATGTGAGAAGCCTTCTGTGTGCAGTGTGCTGTGTGTGAGAAGCCTTCTGTGTGCAGTGTGCTGTGTGTGAGAAGCCTTCTGTGTGCAGTGTGTGTGTGAGAAGCCTTCTGTGTGCAGTGTGTGTGAGAAGCCTTCTGTGTGCAGGGTGCTGTGTGTGAGAAGCCTTCTGTGTGCAGTGTGCTGTGTGTGAGAAGCCTTCTGTGTGCAGTGTGCTGTGTGTGAGAAGCCTTCTGTGTGCAGTGTGTGTGTGAGAAGCCTTCTGTGTGCAGTGTGTGTGAGAAGCCTTCTGTGTGCAGGGTGCTGTGTGTGAGAAGCCTTCTGTGTGCAGTGTGCTGTGTGTGAGAAGCCTTCTGTGTGCAGTGTGTGTGAGAAGCCTTCTGTGTGCAGTGTGTGTGAGAAGCCTTCTGTGTGCAGTGTGTGTGAGAAGCCTTCTGTGTGCAGTGTGCTGTGTGTGAGAAGCCTTCTGTGTGCAGTGTGTGTGAGAAGCCTTCTGTGTGCAGGGTGCTGTGTGTGAGAAGCCTTCTGTGTGCAGGGTGCTGTGTGTGAGAAGCCTTCTGTGTGCAGTGTGTGTAAGAAGCTTTATATGTGCAGTGTGCTGTGTGTGAGAAGCCTTCTGTGTGCAGTGTGCTGTGTGTGAGAAGCCTTCTGTGTGCAGTGTGCTGTGTGTGAGAAGCCTTCTGTGTGCAGTGTGTGTGTGAGAAGCCTTCTGTGTGCAGTGTGTGTGTGAGAAGCCTTCTGTGTGCAGTGTGTGTGTGAGAAGCCTTCTGTGTGCAGTGTGCTGTGTGTGAGAAGCCTTCTGTGTGCAGTGTGTATGTGAGAAGCCTTCTGTGTGCAGTGTGTGTGTGAGAAGCCTTCTGTGTGCAGTGTGCTGTGTGTGAGAAGCCTTCTGTGTGCAGTGTGTATGTGAGAAGCCTTCTGTGTGCAGTGTGTGTGTGAGAAGCCTTCTGTGTGCAGTGTGTGTGAGAAGCCTTCTGTGTGCAGTGTATGTGAGAAGCCTTCTGTGTGCAGTGTGCTGTGTGTGAGAAGCCTTCTGTGTGCAGTGTGCTGTGTGTGAGAAGCCTTCTGTGTGCAGTGTGTGTGTGAGAAGCCTTCTGTGTGCAGTGTGTATGTGAGAAGCCTTCTGTGTGCAGTGTGCTGTGTGTGAGAAGCCTTCTGTGTGCAGTGTGCTGTGTGTGAGAAGCCTTCTGTGTGCAGTGTGTGTGAGAAGCCTTCTGTGTGCAGGGTGCTGTGTGTGAGAAGCCTTCTGTGTGCAGTGTGCTGTGTGTGAGAAGCCTTCTGTGTGCAGTGTGTGTGAGAAGCCTTCTGTGTGCAGTGTGTGTGTGAGAAGCCTTCTGTGTGCAGGGTGCTGTGTGTGAGAAGCCTTCTGTGTGCAGTGTGTGTGAGAAGCTTTATATGTGCAGTGTGCTGTGTGTGAGAAGCCTTCTGTGTGCAGTGTGCTGTGTGTGGGATGACGCTGTAGAAGACGCTGAGGACACGTGTGTGTGTGTGTGTGTGTGTGTGTGTGAAGCCCCGCAGATGACTCTGAGGACGTGTAGCTCTCTTTGTAGCCAGGGCTGTGTGGCACTTCCCTTGGTGCTGTTGTGCTGCCGTTACTGATATCTGTGAAGCACAGACAGCTTTGCCCATCTAAGGGACTCACGATTAGTGGGCAGGTGGGCAGGGCTGTGACGCATGTGCTCACACAAGTGGCATGTGGAACTGCAGGCACACTGAGACGCTGTCTCCTGGCGCTCCCCGAGTTCCACCCGCACATCCTGAGGTGGTGAGCGGGCAGAGCCTCGGCATTGTGGGTGTGAGCTGTGGCAGGGGCCCCCTCAGCTGCCTCTGCTGCATGCAGTGGCTGGCTGGCACGAGTCAGTGTTAGAACTGAGCCTGGCAACCTGGAAGCCCCTCATGTCTTGTGCCGGGGGCCTGGCAAGGGAGCGTCCCTGGATTCCTTCTGGAACCTGAACTGGTGAGGCTGGGGGCTTTTCTCTTGGGCTTTCATGTTTCTCCTGGGGTGCTGTGCGTGGCATGCTGAGGGGCGTCTCCTTTGGCTTTAAGGAAAAGGTGTGGGTGTGGAGTAGCTCCCGGCCTTGGACTGAGTCATAGGTCCCCTGGGACATGTTCACCTTGGGTCCAGGACATGACGGGCCTCACAGGGTATGACATAGTGCCCAGCAGTCTTGAGAGTGCCCAGGACATGGCCTTCCAGGATCTGATGGGCTCACACTGGACTCAGAATGTGGCACGTGTCCCTCAGCTCGCCTACCCTTCCGAGCTGGAGGTGCTGTCATGGGGCAGGCCTGGGCCCCGGCTGCTTGACCGAGATGAACAAATGAGTGTCAGTGGCTGCCTGCAGTCGCAGCTGTGTTGGTGAGGTGGACCCTGCGCCACATGGCTATGTCGGGAGCGTGACCCTGGGTGACTAGGTCGCTGTGGGACGGGCTGGCACAGGAGGACTGTTGCTGTTCCCACACTGCGAGGGCAGAGCGTTCTGAAGCCTCCGTGTGTCGCCTCAGTGCCTGTACTGCCTCGTGTGGCCTTCAGCTCGGGGGCGGCTGCCCAATGTGCTGGGCCACACGAGCAGTGTGAGTGGACACGGGTCACTGCAGTGTGAGAAGTACCGCCAGTGTGGAGGGCTTTACGCTGCCAGAATTGTGCAGACTGGCTGACCCAATGTGACACACGAATCCAGTTCCTCATGAGAGCACAGAACTGGGAGTCCTTAGGGAGTTCTCTGCTATTTCAGAACAGTGGCTCAGGTTTGCTTAGCCAAGTTGGGATATGGAATGCTGTCGCCCGTGGGAGGGCCTGGCTTCTGCCCAGCTCCGACCCTTCGTCTTTCTTCCCCCTCTGCCACCTTGCCCAGTGAGGACCTGGGGGAGTTCATGGAGATGAAAGGTGCCAACAGCCCGGGCATCCTCGTATTGACCACAGGCCTCAGCAAGCCCTTCATGCGTCTCGACAAGTACCCCACGCTGCTCAAGGAGTTGGAAAGACACATGGAGGTAGGCCCTGGGTCCCCGTGGGTCACCTGCAGCGGTCAGACACGGGGCGGGCCTGTGTCGCTTTGGGTCACCTGCGGCGGTCAGACACGGGGCAGGCCCTGACTTCCCATATGTCACTTGAGTGGTCAGACAGAGGCTGGCCTTGGTGTGTGTGAGGCATGTGGGATCAGACACTTGCAGGTAGGCCCTGGCCTTGTCTCCTTCCCCTGTACGTGCTGTAGCAAGGGCCTGTGCCAGTGTAGTCAGACTTGTTGTAGAAGGGAACTTTGCTAGTGATTTGAGAATCTGACTGACTGAGAACCAGCAGAAGCACTGTAGCAGGTGTTTATCTTAGCAGATATTCAGATTTGGGGCAGTTTTGTCCAGCATTAAGGTTTTTCTTCCTCCTCTGGCTTTAAGCAAAGCTCTTGCGTCTCCTTCGTCTTGCTTTCCCACCGCCCGCTGCTGACGGAGTGTTTCCAAAAGCTGGAGAAGGTGATGTGGGGTGGGCCGTGGTACCGGTCAGGAATAACTGGCTGGGAGGCACTCCCTCTAGTGAGTGGTCCTGCTCGTCTTCATCCTCACTGATGGGCTGCGGGTCTGCTCTGGGCTCACGTTAGGCCCTGAACAGCCTGTCCCCATGGCTCTGGGCGCAGCAGCAGCAGCCGGGTCAGCCTGTCCCCGTGGCGCTGGGCGTGGCAGCAGCCGGGTCAGCCTGTTCCGTGGCACTGGGCGCAGCGGCAGCCGGGTCAGCCTGTCCCCATGGCTCTGGGCGCAGCAGCAGCAGCCGGGTCAGCCTGTCCCCGTGGCGCTGGGCGTGGCAGCAGCCGGGTCAGCCTGTCCCCGTGGCGCTGGGCGCAGCGGCAGCCGGGTCAGCCTGTCCCCATGGCTCTGGGCGCAGCAGCAGCAGCCGGGTCAGCCTGTCCCCGTGGCGCTGGGCGTGGCAGCAGCCGGGTCAACCTGTCCCCGTGGCACTGGGCACAGCCGCAGTCGGGTCAGCCTGTGGCTGGTGGGCTGGAGGTGCAGGCCTGCTCACCCCGTGCTGTGAGCTCAGCTCCGGGCTGGCCCTCGTCTGGCCCGGGAGGGGCTGAGTGGAAGCTTTTGCAAAAGCTCATCGTGTATTTCTGCTCTTGAAAGGACTACCATCCCGACAGACAAGATATCCAGAAGTCTATGACTGCCTTCCGGAACCTGTCTGTAAGTAAGGGAGTGCAGGAGGGGTGCAGGGAAGGGCACGGCAGACGACCACTGTCCAGGTGCAGCCGTGCTTCCTCAGGGCCCCTGGCTTCTGGTGGACACTGGTCACCTGGTGACTGTCTCCCCTGCGTCTGCAGCAGGGCTTGGGACACGGGGAGCGGAGTTGCAGTGTCTCTGCCCAGCCCTTGTAGTTTGCTCCTTTTGACTACTTCCATTTCCGTTCAAGCAGGCAGTGACTGTCACTGGAAGGAGTTGGGCACACAGCAGTCCAGCCAGTGTGGAAGATTCTGGAAGTTCCATCTGTTTGACCATGCTGTTCTGTCTTCTCAGGCCCAATGTCAGGAAGTGCGTAAAAGGAAAGAGCTGGAGTCGCAGATCTTGACGGAGGCCGTCCGGAACTGGGAGGGGGACGACATCAGGACGCTGGGCAGCGTGCTCTACCTGTCCCAGGTCACCATGCAGTGTGCAGGCAGTGAGGTACTGCGCCCACCTCCACGTCGCCGCCCTGCTGCTCTGTGCGCGCCCAGCTGCTGCCTGCCGCCCACTTCCTGTGCTCTGGGCAGCCGTACGTTGTTCTGCCGTGCGCTGGTTAATGCCTGCTCACAGTCAGGGTTTCCTTCCGGAGCTGGTTCCGTAGTGTCCCTGGTACCCTGCGAGCAGTTGGCTTTGATGGGCAGGAATCCCGTGCACGTCCCGTTGAATTGTGAAAGAAGCTTCCCTTGTGGAGTTTCATTTTGTCTGTACAGATAACATTATGCTCGGTGCGACTTCCCACCTCCTCCACCGCAGAGGCCTGCCATGTGTCGGGGAGGGCTGCTGTGTCGGGGAGGGCTGCCATGTGTCGGGGAGGGCTGCTGTGTCGGGGAGGGCTGCCATGTGTCGGGGAGGGCTGCTGTGTCGGGGAGGGCTGCGTGGAGGTGGTGTTCCCTGAAGCCCTCTGAGGGGTGTTGTACAGGATCTCCCCAGCTCCAAGGCCAGCCGCTGAGCAGGATGGACAAGGCCTGCCTTGCTGGGGCTCCTGCTGGGGTGCTTGGCAGCCTCCCGGGCAGGGGCGTGTCTGACGGGCACTTCATTATGCCCCTTTCCAGGCAGAGCCCATCTTCCAGAGCTTGTTGTGTGGGGCCAGGTCTGACGAATGGCCTCAATTTAGGAGAAAGCATGTTATTTATGTGTGGGTTCCAGGAGCCCAGCCACTTGAGGCCTGCCCCGAGAGGAGTTGGCTTAAGGCAGAGCCAGAATGGCCCGCAGGCTCAGCAGGGCTCGGTGCTGTGTGTGTCACGGGCAGTGGTGGGCATGTCACTCGTGGCGGGCTTGCGTCTGCCTTCTCACTGGTTCTGGGTGAGTTGCGTATTTGGCTTTCATTAACCTTATTAAAGCAAATGGTTTTTAGCATGGAAGTATTGCTTTTAAGTCTGTGGATGAATTGGATCAGAGTTCATGGGATGCCTGAGGAGGCAGTGCATGGCATCCTGGGAATTTGGGCAAGGGCCTTGGAGTCCTCCCCGCAGGGCCTGTGTCCTCCTCACAGCTGGTCCTTGACCTCTAAGTAGGTCTGTGTCCTCCCCCCCACCCCCCGCCAGCTGTTGTGTCGCCAGCACAGCGTGACCAGGTGTCCTTTTGTGCCTGAACCGCTGACGCTGGTCCCGGCTCAGCTGCTTGGGAGCTGAGTGTTCAGGGTTGTTGCACAGGGCGCTTGCAAGTCCGTGGCCTGTTGGTCATTGTGCTTACTTGCTTTTTATTTTGAAGGAGTTAGCACCCGTGAGTTTATGTATCAGTTAAAACACCCTCTCTCTTAATACACTGTGAAGTACTCTGTGTTACTCGGAATTTTATTTCTGATTACTGTGGCTGACATGAGGTGGCAGAGTGCCCTTGGCACTAATTGGAGAGCCCAATGAAATGAGCATGCTCCCCCTTGGCAGGTGCTCCCCCTCGGCAGGTGCTCCCCCTTGGCAGATGCTCCCCATGGCAGGTGCTCCCCATGGCAGGTGCTCCCCCTTAGCAGATGTTCCCCATGGCAGGTGCTCCTCATGGCAGGTGCTCCCCCTTGGCAGGTGCTCCCCCTCGGCAGGTGCTCCCCATGGCAGGTGCTCCCCCTCGGCAGCTGCTCCCCATGGCAGGTGCTCTTTAGCAAGTCCTCTGGGTTTGTCTTTGTGCCAGGAGAAGAGTGAGCGGTACCTGCTGCTCTTCCCTAACACCTTGCTGATGCTGTCGGCCAGCCCCAGGATGAGCGGTTTCATCTACCAGGTGAGTCCCTTCCACGCAGCTGTGTTTGCTATTCATGGGGCTTGAGAAGGACCCTTAGGCTGGCTTTGCATTTGCAGGTGTCTGTGTGCGGTGTGTGTGGTCTGGGGTTGGGTGGGGCCCCGTGGCTCTGGTCTGTGGGTTTGAACACACTGGGATCAAGACTTGCTGCGGTCTGCTGTGTTTAAGAAGGAGCAGTGCAGGCCCGGAGCGCCGTACCTGGTGTCCTGCCGTGTGGTTCTCGCACAGGGTTGGTGAGGGGAGGAGACGTGGCCAAGAGCCTGCAGGTCAGCAGCAGTGCCCGCGTGGGTCAGCAGGAGCGCGTGCCTTTCACTGCCTCTCGGTGACAGGTGACAATGTGAGCTGACCTGAGACACACTGGCAGTTACCGTGCTGAGAGACCTTGGTGTCCAGTGACTTCCGGCCCTCTGCCACTCACTGGACATCTTTGGTAGGTCTCGCCAGCCATGTGGCTCCTGTACAGATGCAGAGACTGACCCCTCCCTGGGCACCAAGACCCCAGCAATGATGTGGGGTGTCCCGAGTCAGGCTGCCTGTCTCCGGCAAGGATGTGGGGTGTTCCCTGTCAGGCTGTTTGCTCTTCCACGGGAATCTCCGTCTGTCACTCCCAAACACCTGTCACCACACAGTGATTTCAAAAATGTGTGTTAAAACCGAGTTGAATGTGTGACCTTCTGGGGTCCCACTCAGACTTACTGTGCCTACTCCCCATCAGTGCCCCACAAGGCTGTGGTGGCTGGGGCTGGAGACCCGTCCCCCACAGCTTCTTGCTTCCCACTCGGCACGGGGACCCATGAGCACCTGCATCTGCTTCTAGAAGCTGGCCTTGGGCGTGCTTGCTCCAGCAGCATGATGCTGCGCCGCCTCCCCGTGGTCCCGTGGCTGCAGCTCACCATGGAGACACCTTGTGAGCGCTGGGGAGTGTGGTGTGCCACAGGGCTCGGTTGCACATGGCCGCTGCAGTGTCCAGCAGCCCGCGGGCCTGTTGGCTGGATGGCAGCTTGGAGTCTGCCTCAGTGCCCAAGGCAGGGTTGGGGTGAAGACCCTGGGTACCTCTGCCTGCCAGGTTGTGACGTGGCCCCTGTCCTGGGGGACGGCACCTGCATACCTGGTGACATTCTCTGCTTTCTGTTGTTCCCCAAGGAGTGTGCCAAGGCTTGGGTGAACTGAGCCTGGAAACTCTGTTCAGCCCTGTCAGGCCCCTGCTCAGCGCTAGAGTGCTGCCGCAGGGGCCTGGCTGTCCTGCCATGCCCGCCTCAGGTGTGGCCGCAGCCGTGCCTGGCACACCTCACTGCAGAACCTGCTCAGTTCAGTTCTCGCCTTGATTTCCCACTCTATCTTTGTCTTGTGTGGTGCTCCTCCGGCATGTCCGTAAGGCCCCCTGAGCCCGGCGCTGGGCCCGTCACTCCTGGCAGGGCTCGCTACCTCCAGCCCTTCTGCTGGCTCTCACTCTGGGTTTTGATGTTAGGTGATATTTGAGAGAGGGATGTTTTTGTTACACACACACACCTGCCACGAATGAAAGAACGTTTCTGGGTCACACAGCGCTGTGATGTTTCCAGAGTGATATAGCGTCTCATGTCAAGGCCTTCTTCCTTAGAGACACACTCACCGTGGCACGTCGTGTGTTTCTTGTAGGGAAAGCTGCCCACCACGGGAATGACCGTCACAAAACTGGAGGACAGTGAGAGCCACAGGAACGCATTTGAGATATCAGGTGACATGCCGTGTGTGTGCACTGTGTGGCGGGGCGGGGTGGGCTGGCCGTGTGTGCACTGTGGTGGGCTGGCCGTGTGTGCGTGTTGTGTGGCTGGGCGGGGTGGGCTGGGTGTGTGTGCCGTGTGCCATGTCCACTTGAACCTGCTGTCTCCTGCGCCGTTCAGGTAGCATGATCGAGCGGATCCTCGTGTCGTGTGGCAGCCAGCAGGACCTGCACGAGTGGGTGGAGCACCTGCACCGGCTGACCAAGACGGCGCCTGTCGGCAACCCCTCCATCAAACCCCACTCGGTGCCGTCCCACACCGTAAGGGCGCATGCGCGTCTGCTCCTCCCGGCCGCCTCGGGCAGCGTGTGCTGTCCATGCCAGCCATGCCCAGGGCTGATGTCCTGCTCCACTGCCTGCGTGTGCCCCTTTCTGTGCAGCCACTGCTGCACCGCACCCTCTCCTGTCCACACGTGGTCCTGCGGGGCAGGAAGCCGCCTTCCCCTCCCAGGGGCCCTGGAGGCTGCGCTCAGGAGACTCCCTGAAGCCCCAGGGCCCTAAGTGCTGCTTGTCTAAGGCCTTGGCCTGAGCTTTGGTGCGTCATTTAGAAAACGTGGACAACAGTGAGGCCAGCACAATCAGCCAGATGGGTGCTGAAGGCGTTACCAGACTGCTCCTCGGTGCTTCGGTGCTGGGAGCACCGCGCCGGCACTGCTGGGCGCTGAGGACGCAGCCGGCTCTGTCCTGAGCAGGGGCAGCGGAGGCCTGGGCACACGTCCTGAGGTGTCGTGCCCGTGCAGACGGCTTGTGTTTGCAGAATGGCTCCCTCCTGTACCCAGTGGTTAGGATCGTCTCTCCCGCACGCAGGGCTTCCCGTGCAGTAGCCTTGTTCCGTCCACGTCTGCTGGGCGCTGCCTGCTTCCAGAAGCCAGCTCCGGAGAGTCCTCCCGCAGGCCTGGCACTGGCCGTCAGTGTCGGCTCTCAGCAGGTTCCTGTGCCCAGTGGGTGCACCCTCACGTGCTCTCCTTCTGAGCAACTTCCCTTTAGCCTTACGCCTTCTCCCTGTGCCTGCCTCCGTTCAAATGTTAGCCCAAAGCGGAACGTAGGCCTGTTCTGGCTTTCTCATGTAATCAGACACCGAGGCAAGCATTGCGTGCTGTGATGTTTTCACTGGGAGGGATTCTGCCCCTGTATGTTCCATGGCTTGGATGTGATGACCCCGTGGTGTTTGCAGCATGGAGAGCTGGCACAGGCGACCCCAGAGTCTGCTCCTTCAGCACTTGGTGCCATGCCATCAGCTGCCAGCCTCCTGGAATAAGCCAGTGTCCCTGCACAGTTGCTGTGGGCTCACAACTGGGCTGTCCCCTCCCAGAGTCACCCCCCAGCCGTCCCCCTCCCAGAGCTGTCCCCTTCCCCTCCCAGAGCCATCCTCTCCCCTCCCAGAGCCATCCTCTCCCCTCCCAGAGCCGTCCCCTCCCCTCCCAGAGCTGTCCCCTTCCCCTCCCAGAGCCATCTCCTCCCCTCCCAGAGCCGTCCCCTTCCCCTCCCAGAGCTGCCCCCTCAGCCATCCCCTCCCTTTCCAGAGCCATCACCCCCTCCGAGTTCCCCGCCCCCAGAGCCATCTCTTCCCAAGAGCTGTCCCTCCCAAAGCCATCCCCCCACCGGAACTGCCCCCCACCCAGCCAGCCCCTCCTGTCTCCTGCTGGGAAGCTCTTTTGAAGTCCTGGTGGATTTTGAGGTTACTGGTTTAATTTGGTCCTCTCTTGCTGACCTCCCAGTGCAGTGGGGGTTTTGAAATGGGAATCTCTCGGCCAGCACTCCACTCTGAGAAGTTGCATTTTGAGGCTACTTTGTTTCAGTTCCAGCAGAGGCTTCCCAAGAAGCAGGCTTGTTTGCAAGTGCTGTGCCTTTTGTCCTGCAGACCAGACTGCAGGTGTCTGCAGCTTTCAGGTACCCTTTGTACCTGGAGCACCCCAACACCCATGGGTAGAAATGGGCCTGGTCGCCAGCTCCTTCGTGTCCCCAGAACCCCGCACCCTTGCACCTGTAGGTGGTGGCATGTCTAGCCCCTGACCCTGATGTGGAGCTGCGGATGGCTCGAAGCAGTGTGGGTGATTTGTGGGATGGCATGTGCAGAGAAGCGGGGCATCAGAGTCCCACGGCTTACGTGACCAGGGGGCGGGACCTTGGAAAGGGACATGGAACATGGAGCAGGGTGCTAAACTCTGAGTCTCATCTGCTCATCTCTCTGCCTTGCAGCTCCCTTCCCACCCGATGACTCCATCCGGCAAGCACGCAGACAGCAAGCCGGTGCCGCTGGCACCTGCCTACCACACGCTGCCCCACCCCTCCCACCATGGCACCCCACACACCACCATTAACTGGGGACCCCTGGAGCCTCCAAAAACGCCCAAGCCATGGAGCCTGAGCTGCCTGCGGCCTGCCCCGCCCCTCCGGCCCTCGGCGGCCCTCTGCTACAAGGAGGTGAGGGCTTCGGGCGGCACCAGCGTGGGTGAGCTTGTCTCGAGACTGGCTTTTCTGCACTTGGTGCACTTTTGTTCACTTGATGTAAGAAACACTGGGTCGCCAGGAGTGGGCAACAGGCTGCCTTCCTCCTACGTCCCCCTCTGCTTGGAGGGCCGGGAGCCCAGGTAAGCCAGAGGACACCCACACAGGCCTTAGCCGGCCTTGCTTGGAGCCTCGAGTGAGCGCGCAGCAGCTCTGAGGGGCTACACAGTCGGTTCTCAGGTTTGCGATCCGGAGGCTGTGAGGACTCTGTAAGACAGCTTCCTCCTCGGTGTGTGAGGAACCAGTGCAGAATCTTGAGCCTGCTCCCTCTGATCCTGAGTTCCTGTGTATGCTGGTGTGAGCTCAAGCTGCCTGCACCTGCTTTGATGCAGATAGAAAGTGTTGGAAAGTGTCTTGTAAGGAGTGGTTTCACTTGGGGAAGCAGCTAAGTGATGGATATGGTTTGGATGAGCGTGAATAAGGTTAGGTGTCTGGGTGTGAGAGTTTACAAGGGAGGGTGAATAAGAGGAAGGGTGTGAGTGTGAGTAGTACAAGTATGAGGGTAAGGGCACAAAGGAAGTGCATGTCAGTTGTAAGTAGAAGTGAGCATGATCGGTGTGAGTGCAAGCAGGAAAGGCCGTGTGAGGAGTGAGTGCGTGTGCCAGGTTGCAGTGTGAGGAATAGTACACACGTGTCAGGTCGCAGTGTGAACATGAGTACACTCATGTCAGGTCGCAGTGTGAATATGAGTACACTCGTGTCAGGTCGCAGTGTGAGTACACTCGTGTGAGGTCGCAGTGTGAGTACACTCGTGTCAGGTCGCAGTGTGAGTACACTCGTGTCAGGTCGCAGTGTGAGTACACACGTGTCAGGTCGCAGTGTGAGTACACACGTGTCAGGTCGCAGTGTGAGTACTTGTGTCAGGTCGCAGGTCGCAGTGTGAGTACACACGTGTCAGGTCGCAGTGTGAGTACACACGTGTCAGGTCTCAGTGTGAGTGCACTCGTGTCAGGTCACAGTGTGAGTGCACTCGTGTCAGGTCACAGTGTGAGTACACATGTGTCAGGTCGCAGTGTGAGTACACACGTGTCAGGTCGCAGTGTGAGTACACACGTGTCAGGTCTCAGTGTGAGTGCACTCGTGTCAGGTCACAGTGTGAGTGCACTCGTGTCAGGTCACAGTGTGAGTACACATGTGTCAGGTCGCAGTGTGAGTACACACGTGTCAGGTCGCAGTGTGAGTACACACGTGTCAGGTCGCAGTGTGAGTACACACGTGTCAGGTCGCAGTGTGAGTGCACTCGTGTCAGGTCGCAGTGTGAGTACACACGTGTCAGGTCGCAGTGTGAGTACACACGTGTCAGGTCGCAGTGTGAGTACACACGTGTCAGGTCGCAGTGTGAGTACACACGTGTCAGGTCGCAGTGTGAGTACACACGTGTCAGGTCACAGTGTGAGTGCACTCGTGTCAGGTCACAGTGTGAGTACACACGTGTCAGGTCGCAGTGTGAGTACACACGTGTCAGGTCGCAGTGTGAGTACACACGTGTCAGGTCGCAGTGTGAGTACTCGTGTCAGGTCGCAGTGTGAGTGCACTCGTGTCAGGTCGCAGTGTGAGTACACTCGTGTCAGGTCGCAGTGTGAGTACTCGTGTCAGGTCGCAGGTCGCAGTGTGAGTACACACGTGTCAGGTCGCAGTGTGAGTACACACGTGTCAGGTCACAGTGTGAGTACACACGTGTCAGGTCGCAGTGTGAGTACACGTGTCAGGTCGCAGTGTGAGTACTCGTGTCAGGTCGCAGTGTGAGTACACTCGTGTCAGGTCGCAGTGTGAGTACACACGTGTCAGGTCGCAGTGTGAGTACACACGTGTCAGGTCGCAGTGTGAATGCACTCGTGTCAGGTCACAGTGTGAGTACACTCGTGCCAGGTCGCAGTGTGAACATGAGTACACTCGTGTCAGGTCGCAGTGTGAGCGTGATGAACGCAGCCCTGTGTGTGTCTGGGGGAGAGTGTAGAGGGGCTGCCTCTGCTGCTTTGTCTCCAATGGCTGTGCCCGGGGCCATGTCCCTTGGGCTGCGAGTCCTGTCCCACCTCTCGCGAGGGGACGTAGATCTCTCCCGACTGCTTGTCTTTCCTCTTGGCAGTGTCGCCCGTGCCATATGCTCTAGGAGTTGTAACAGAGAGCCAGGGCTGCCGGTGGCTCATTGATTTTAAGTTACTGCCCGGCACCTGCAAAGGGAAGAAACGAGCTGAGTGGGACGGTCTCTGTGGTTGCTGCTTGGGGTGGGCTGTTCAGGCCCTGCGTCGCTGGTCCTCTGCTCGGTGCCCAGTTCTGTCTTCCCACTGATGTGCGCTGGGAGGCAGCCCTGGTGACTGCAGTCATGGGCTTCCCTTCCTGCCACCTGTGATGGAGCCCTTGGTTGGGTTCCTGGCTCCTGGCTTCAGTTGCTGAGGTTTGTGGATTGAAGGAGTGATTGGAAGCTTACTGCCATGGCTCACTCTTGATTGCTCTCGCTGTGCTCGGCTCTGCTTCACACCTGAGTAAGTGAACAGGAAGAGCTGAGTGCCAGCCCCCATGGCGGCCCGCTCTGATGGCTTGCTGTAGAGGGTTAGCGTTTGCCTTTCTTCCTCCAGGACCTTAGCAAGAGCCCCAAGACCATGAAGAAACTCCTGCCGAAGCGCAAGCCGGAGCGGAAGCCTTCAGACGAAGAGTTTGCCTTGCGGAAAAGTGAGTCCGGTGTTGTGGCTGGAGGGACTTGGGGCGCTTTTTTGCACAGGCCACCGGTCTGCACCAGTCAGGCTGCAACCCTGTGCTGTGAGCTGGGGCTTCTTCTGCCGGCTCTTGGCGTTCCTGCATCCTCCCAGGCTTGGACCGCCTCCCCGGACACGGACCGCAGGCTCTGGTCCAGGGCTGGGCTCCACCATGCTCTTCCCGGGGCAGCTCACACTCCTGTGCTTACACGGCGACTTTGGCATTCACTGTCCCCCTTTCCTGTCTCTTCTGGGTGTCTCCCCTTTGTCTCACCACCTGCCTGCTGGGACAAGACCAGGCAAGGTTTATGCAACTGTGTGTGTGAGAGAGGGGGGGAACGCAGGATCAGCCTGTGTGTGTGCACATAGGAACTCTGTGTGTGTGTGTGTGTGTGTGTGTGTGTGTGTGTGTGTGTGTGTGTGTGTGCGCCTAGTCTGAGGACCACAGCCCAGAGACTGGCAAACCCTGTTCTTGCAGAGTGTGCCTGTGGACAGAGATCCCAACACAGGGCTCAAGGACCTGTGAACCCTGCACCTGCTGACGCGGCACCCAGGGAAGGGTTTTGGACAAGATACGGAGCCCTTGGGGCCTGGGGGACTGCTCCGCCCGGTTAGAACCTTGGGGCAGGAAGTGCGGGGGATCAGGAGCCGTCCAAGCCTGGAGCTGCCCAGGCATGGAGAGCAGGGAGGGCCGGGGTGGAGGCCCGGAGCAGTGGAAGGAGAGGTGTGGTGGACACGAGCTGGGGTGGAGCGAGGGGAACCTGATTCCTCTGTGGCCGAAGCCCACGCCTGGGGTTCTCCTTGGGTGCCAGCAGTGCCAGCAGTGCCAGCCAGGCGCATGCAGTCAGCCCTGCAAGAAGGGCTGCTCTCCGTGGCAGGAGTGGGTCACCTTTACCGTGGCTTAGCGCTCGCCGCTGCCTGCAGGGGGAGCTTGCCCAGGCAGCTGTCTGTCAGGTGCTGTCAACTTTCCTGCAGCCCAACAGCCAGTGTAACTGGGGGGGGGGGGTCCCCTGACCTCTAGCGGCCCACTGAGGGCGTGTGCCCCTTGTTGTCAGTGTTGAGAGCAGTGGGTCTGGAGTTCCTGCCAGACTGGTCTGTTTGAGTGTCCGTTGCTGATGTTGAGAATTCCCGCTCCTCCCTGTGCTGTCCTTGGCAAAGGGTGCACTCAGGGCCCTCTCTCCTCTAGCTTAGTGGGATTGTGTGGAGTCGTCACAATAGGTCATGGAGGGGTATACCTGCTTCCGATGGAACCATGGCCTGTTCCAGCTCACTCCATAAAGCTGTACAAACATCAAAGGGAGAGAGCAAGACGTCTGCCTGATGTGCTCCCTGAAGCTGCAGCTACGGGCCAGCCGGGTGCCAGTCATATGCCGGCCAAAAACCAGGAGCTGTCTGCTCTGCCCTGGGGGCCATTAGAGTGTCAATAGGAAGTGGGTGAGAAACAGAGCAGGAGTTGATCCAAGCACCCAAGCATGGCATGTGATGGGCACTAGCTCAACCTCTAAAGCTATTTGACCTCTGGCCAAACTGACTGCTGATGAAAAAGGGTTAAAAATGAACCAAAATGCTGTTAGAACTGAGAAATCAGGTGACAAACAAGCAGTGGATAGCTTATCCGCCCGGCTCTGTTCTAGGTGCCTGAGCCTGGACTCCTGTGCGGATGACTGGGTATGTGTCAGTGCTGGGAGCGCCTTGGGGATGGTAGTGTGCACCCTGGACGGCCGTGTGTGTGTGTGTGTGTGCGCCCTGGACGGCCGTGAGCACTGTGTCCTCTGTGTGTGTGTGTGTGTGTGTGTGCGCCCTGGACGGCCGTGAGCACTGTGTCCTCTGTGTGTGTGTGTGTGTGTGTGTGTGTGTGTGTGTGTGCGCCCTGGACGGCCGTGAGCACTGTGTCCTCTGTGTGTGTGTGTGTGTGTGCGCCCTGGACGGCCGTGAGCACTGTGTCCTGTGTGTGTGTGTGTGTGTGCGCGCCCTGGACGGCCGTGAGCACTGTGTCCTGTGTGTGTGTGTGTGTGTGTGTGTGTGTGTGCCCTGGACGGCCGTGAGCACTGTGTCCTCTGTGTGTGTGTGTGTGTGCCCTGGACGGCCGTGAGCACTGTGTCCTGTGTGTGTGTGTGTGTGTGTGTGCCCTGGACGGCCGTGAGCACTGTGTCTGTGTGTGTGTGTGTGTGTGTGCGCGTGCGCGCCCTGGAGGGCCGTGAGCACTGTGTCCTCTGTGTGTGTGTGTGTGTGTGTGAGTGTGTGTGTGTGTGTGTGCGCCCTGGACGGCCGTGAGCACTGTGTCCTGTGTGTGTGTGTGTGTGTGTGTGTGTGTGTGTGTGTGTGCGCCCTGGACGGCCATGAGCACTGTGTCCTGTGTGTGTGTGTGTGTGCCCTGGACGGCCATGAGCACTGTGTCCTCTGTGTGTGTGTGTGTGTGTGTGTGTGTGTGTGCGCCCTGGACGGCCGTGAGCACTGTGTCCTCTGTGTGTGTGTGTGTGTGTGTGTGTGTGTGTGTGTGCGCCCTGGACGGCCGTGAGCACTGTGTCCTGTGTGTGTGTGTGTGTGTGCGCGCCCTGGACGGCCGTGAGCACTGTGTCCTCTGTGTGTGTGTGTGTGCGCGCCCTGGACGGCCGTGAGCACTGTGTCCTCTGTGTGTGTGTGTGTGTGTGTGTGTGTGCCCTGGACGGCCGTGAGCACTGTGTCCTGTGTGTGTGTGTGTGTGTGCCCTGGACGGCCGTGAGCACTGTGTCCTCTGTGTGTGTGTGTGTGTGTGTGCGCGCCCTGGACGGCCGTGAGCACTGTGTCTGTGTGTGTGTGTGTGTGTGTGTGCGCGTGCGCGCCCTGGAGGGCCGTGAGCACTGTGTCCTCTGTGTGTGTGTGTGTGTGTGTGTGTGTGTGTGTGTGTGTGCCCTGGACGGCCGTGAGCACTGTGTCCTGTGTGTGTGTGTGTGTGTGTGTGTGTGTGCCCTGGACGGCCGTGAGCACTGTGTCCTGTGTGTGTGTGTGTGTGTGTGTGTGTGCGCCCTGGACGGCCATGAGCACTGTGTCCTCTGTGTGTGTGTGTGTGCACCCTGGACGGCCATGAGCACTGTGTCCTCTGTGTGTGTGTGTGTGTGTGTGTGTGTGTGTGTGCGCCCTGGACGGCCGTGAGCACTGTGTCCTCTCTGTGTGTGTGTGTGTGTGTGTGTGTGTGTGTGTGTGTGTGTGTGTGTGCGCGCGCCCTGGGCGGCCGTGAGCACTGTGTCCTGTGTGTGTGTGTGTGTGTGTGTGCCCTGGACGGCCGTGAGCACTGTGTCCTGTGTGTGTGTGTGTGTGTGTGTGTGTGTGTGCCCTGGACGGCCGTGAGCACTGTGTCCTCTGTGTGTGTGTGTGTGTGTGTGTGTGTGTGTGTGTGTGTGTGCGCGCCCTGGACGGCCATGAGCACTGTGTCCTCTGTGTGTGTGTGTGTGTGTGTGTGTGTGTGCCCTGGACGGCCATGAGCACTGTGTCCTGTGTGTGTGTGTGTGTGTGTGTGTGTGCGCCCTGGACGGCCATGAGCACTGTGTCCTGTGTGTGTGTGTGTGTGCCCTGGAAGGCCGTGAGCACTGTGTCCTCTGTGTGTGTGTGTGTGTGTGTGTGTGTGTGCCCTGGACGGCCATGAGCACTGTGTCCTGTGTGTGTGTGTGTGTGTGTGTGTGTGTGTGTGCGCCCTGGACGGCCATGAGCACTGTGTCCTGTGTGTGTGTGTGTGTGCCCTGGACGGCCGTGAGCACTGTGTCCTCTGTGTGTGTGTGTGTGTGTGTGTGTGTGCCCTGGACGGCCGTGAGCACTGTGTCTGTGTGTGTGTGTGTGTGTGCGCCCTGGACGGCCGTGAGCACTGTGTCCTGTGTGTGTGTGTGTGTGCCCTGGACGGCCGTGAGCACTGTGTCCTCTGTGTGTGTGTGTGTGTGTGTGTGCCCTGGACGGCCGTGAGCACTGTGTCCTGTGTGTGTGTGTGTGTGTGTGTGCCCTGGACGGCCGTGAGCACTGTGTCCTGTGTGTGTGTGTGTGTGTGTGTGTGTGTGTGTGTGTGTGTGTGCCCTGGACGGCCATGAGCACTGTGTCCTCTGTGTGTGTGTGTGTGTGTGTGTGTGTGTGTGTGTGTGTGTGTGCACCCTGGACGGCCGTGAGCACTGTGTCCTCTTGTGTGTGTGTGTGTGTGTGTGTGTGTGCGCGCGCCCTGGAGGGCCGTGAGCACTGCGTCCTCTGTGTGTGTGTGCGTGTGTGCGCCCTGGAGGGCCGTGAGCACTGTGTCCTCTGTGTGTGTGTGCGTTCACTGTACACTGACTATGTGTCCTCTCTGGCAGGCACCGCCGCCCTAGAGGAGGATGCCCAGATCCTCAAAGTCATTGAAGCTTACTGTACAAGCGCCAAGACGCGGCAGACGCTGAATTCCAGTAAGTGCCCCTGAGTGTGTGCCGCAGCAGTGGGCCTAGTGGGGCTTGCTATCCAGGGGTGCACTTTGAGCAGAGCCCGGGTCCCCCTCCCCTGAGCAGGGTCTGAGCCGTGGGCAGTGGCTTGTGGTCCTCTGGGGAATACCCTCCTCACCCCTGTGCCCCCTCCCTGGGAGCTGCCTTTGCTGAGGGGTGCTGGCAGGCAGTGGGCGTCGGCTGGTGTGCTGTGTGGCTTCTGTGCGGCCTTGGTGTGCCAGCTTCCTCGGATTCCTGTATGCACTCCAAAGCCAGTGCATTTGAAGGTTGTCGTTGTGAGTAGCTGAGTGTTTGGGTAGGCCCTCATCGTGGTGTTTCGGTAGCTTGGTGAAGGAGCTTGGGCTGTTCTGTGAGCCATCTGTGGGTGTCCTTCCGTGGGCTGTGCTGTGGGCTGTCTACAGGCATCCTTCCACTGATATCCTGCCATGGGCTGTGCTGTGGGCCATGCCATGGGCCGTCCACGAGTGTCCTTTCATGAGCCATGCCATGGATTGTTCACAGGCGTCTTGATGTGGGCTCTGCTGTGGGCTTTGCGATGGGCTGTTCTGTGAGCCATTCATTGGCATCCTGTCAAGGACTGCGCTGTGGGCTGTCCACGGGTGTCCTTCCATGGGCTGTACCATGGGCCGTCCACAGGTGTCCTTCCATGGGCTGTACTGAGGGCCGTCCACGGTTGTCCTTCCATGGGCTGTACCATGGGCCGTCCACAGGTGTCCTTCCATGGGCTATACCATGGGCCGTCCACAGGTGTCCTTCCATGGGCTGTACCATGGGCCGTCCACGGGTGTCCTTCCATGGGCTGTACTGAGGGCCGTCCATGGGTGTCTTTCCATGGGCTGTACCATGGGCCATCCACAGGTGTCCTTCCATGGGCTGTACCATGGGCCATCCATGGGTGTCCTTCCATGGGCTGTGCTGTGGGCCGTCCATGGGTGTCCTTCCATAGGCTGTGCTGTGGGCTGTCCATGGGTGTCCTTCCATGGGCTGTGCCGTGGGCTGTCCATGGGTGTCCTTCCATAGGCTGTGCTGTGAGCCACCTGCAGGCATCCTGCTGTGGGCTATGCGTGGGCCATCTGTGAGTTGTCCGTGGGCATTTTCCCATGGGCTGTGCTGTGGGCCATCCACGGTGTCCTTCCATGGTCTGTGCTGTGGGCTGTCCACCGGCGTCCTGCTGTAGGTATGCCATGGCTGTTCACGGGTGTGCTTCTTTCGGCGGTGCCATGGGCCGCCCACAGGCATCCTGCTGTGGGCTACGTGTGGGCCATATGTGGGTTGTCTGTGGGCCTTTTTCCATGGGCTGTGCTGTGGGCCGTCCACAGGCTTCCTGCTGTGGGTGTGCTGTGGCTGTCCACGGCTGTGCTTCTGTGGCTGGTGCTGTGGACTGACTGTGTGTCCTGCTGTGGGTGTGCTGTGGCTGTCCACGGCTGTGCTTCTGTGGCCGGTGCTGTGGACTGACTGTGTGTCCTGCTGTGGGTATGATGTGGCTGTCCACGACTGTGCTTCTGTGGCCGGTGCTGTGGACTGACTATGTGTCCTGCTGTGGGTTTTCTGTGGCTGTCCACGGCTGTGCTTCTGTGGCCGGTGCTGTGGACTGTGTGTCCTGCTGTGGGTGTTCCGTGGCTGTCCACAGCTATGCTTCTGTGGCCGGTGCTGTGGACTGTGTGTCCTGCTGTGGGTGTTCCGTGGCTGTCCACGACTGTGCTTCTGTGGCCGGTGCTGTGGACTGACTGTGTATCCTGCTGTGGGTGTGCCGTGGCTGTCCACGGCTGTGCTTCTGTGGCTGGTGCTGTGGACTGACTGTATCCTGCTGTGGGTGTGCCGTGGCTGTCCACGACTGTGCTTCTGTGGCCGGTGCTTTGGACTGACTGTGTATCCTGCTGTGGGTGTTCCGTGGCTGTCCACGGCTGTGCTTCTGTGGCCGGTGCTGTGGACTGTGTGTCCTGCTGCAGCTTCTGCTCTGTGCAGAGACTTAGTCTGGTTTTTCAGGGTTTGGGGGAACTGGGTGTCTTACATATTACTTGGCTGTGGAAACTGATTCCTTCTCATCCTGTGTCGGTTCCCTGTCCGCCCCACGCTGGCTGAGTGGCCAGTCTTGCCTCTTTACCTCCCCTGCCGCGTGGTGCTTCAGGTGGGTGTCGTGTCCCGGGGACAGACGTGCACATGAGGTCAGGGAGGACATTGTGATGACATTGTTGGCAGCACCCTGGGGCCTCTGAGGTTGGCCCTTGACTGCGTCTCCCCGGCATTGGACTATGCTGGGGTCCTGCCTGGGGAGTTGGCTTTGGCCTCTTTGTGTGCGGGCACTGGCAGCAGTACAGAAGGGGGAGGGCCTGTGCACCTTGTCCAGGGCTGATCGCTACTTGTGCGTGTTGGGGCTGTTTTGAGTGTTGGTAGTGAGAGCGTTTTAGTTTTAGTTTCTGCTCAGTTTGATTTCCTTGAAGTGGACTGTTAGGCCGGGGGTCTTGGCTGCACAGGCAGGGCCCCCAGCGTGTGTGTGCTGGAGGGAGCCGCGTCTGCTCAGTAGTGGGCGTGTCCTGGCCCATGTATGTGTGTCCACAGCTCCTGTGCAAGAAAAGCCTGGAGCCGTGTATCCACACTGGCTCTGAGGGTGCAGCCTCAGGGCTGTCCCCGCCCTGGCTTTTGCTGTAGGCTTTGAGGCATGGGCAGGGAGGGGCTGATGTCGTGGTGGGTGCAGCTCTCTGCCCACGGATGATGGGACTTGCAGTCTGTGGAAGGCCGGGAGGACTGGAGGCCCAGCGTGCAGGTGTCGGTTTGCTTGGAGGCAGGAAAGCCTTGGTGGCAGTTGAGGGCTGGCACAAGAGCTAGGGCAGGGCCAGCCCTGTGGCTGCAGGGCCGGGGGTCCTGGGCCCCTCAGGGGGAGCCCCTCGCACACTTGCCTGCCCAGGGCCACTGCTCACAGCCGCTACCTGCCCCTGGGGTTGTTTCTCCTACACTTCCCAAGGGCATTGCTGGCTGTGCCCTCACCAGGCTCGATGGCTTTGTGGGAAATTCACCCTGGGCTCCCTGACTCCCTGGACATGGGGCATGGGTGGGGGAGACCCGGGGCTCTCTGCGGAGGTTGGGGACTGACACGGTAAGTCACTTGTGTCTGTCGCCTCCACTTGCTGAGTAGGACAGTTTTGTGTAATGCTGTCACGGAGGCTGCTCCTCAATGTGGGCAGGCTCGGCTGACTGCCTGGCGGAGGTGCTTTTTGACCTCGGTATAATTTGTAAACTATTTCTTAACCGAGAGTCTTACGACCCTATTGTTCCAAAGGGGCTACTTTGAAGCTATTGTATTTTGTATGTTTAACTGCTAATTGGTATAACTTTGTGCTAAGGGTTGTACTGAGTTTGTTATGAAAACCAACCGTGTATATACGGAGAAGCAAACCTTGTTGCCGTTTTTAACAGTATTTTCTCTTTTCCTTCTCTTCCCGTCACCTTTTGCTTTTGTTCCTGTTTTTGGTTGTGGCTCTTCTGTCTGCCCTCCCCCTGCCTGTCGCACCTGTCGCCCTCCCTGTCGTAGCATGGCAAGGCACTGACCTGATGCATAATCACGTCTTGGCTGATGATGACCAGCCCAGTCTAGACTCGTTGGGCCGTCGCAGCAGCCTTTCTCGTTTGGAGCCCTCAGACCTCTCGGAAGACCCTGAGTATGACAGTATATGGACAGCCCATAGTTACAGGATGGGTCCAGCATCTCGTAAGAGCTGTTGCTCCTCTATCTCCCACCAGAACTAGTGCACTTCGCAGCTGTCCCCGCGCTTGTGGGGCCGCGGCCTGCTTTGCTTAGGTGTTTTCTTGCTGTTCCTTGTCTCCTTATGTGATGTTTCCGGCACTGCCCGTGTATGGCGGAGGGAGCCGGTGTGTCCCACACGCACCTGCACCTCTGCCTGAGGGTGCTTTTCTTAATGGGAAGTTGCTGTGTGGCCCTCCGGGGTCTGGGGACTTCTCAGTGTAGCACTTGTCTCGGTTCTCTTTGGATACAACTGTATGAACACTTCTATTTTATATGGACACACACAAACTTGTGGTTCAAGTGCCGCCCGTGGAAACTCAGACACTCTCCCTGGCCAGCCGTGGGGGGAGAGGGAGAGGACACACACACAGAGCAGCCCTGGGCGTGCTCCCCAGGCCGCGCCGCGTGCCTGTGCAGGGGGGGCATGTGGTCACAGTGCAGCCAGCGGGGCTGAGTCCCGCACCACACTTGCCCACGCACGGGGCTTCTGTTGTGGGCCTGAGCGGGTCTGCACCCCACACTGCCCCCATATGGTGGGGTGAAGCATTCGGCTCCGCAGAGCTGGCCTGGCTGTGGCCCGAGAGGCCTTGGTGAACAGAGCAGAGCTGTGCGGCACCGTGGATGCTTCAGTGCCCATGCCTAGCCAGCCCTCCCTTTGAGCCCTTCTGATGCGAGAATGTGGCTGCCTCCTGGCTGGGCTGAGCCCCGCAGCACAGTCTGCCTTCCACTCAGTCCCCACCCTCCTGGGTTTGTCTCAGGAGCTGCAAGGCCCCACTCAGACTAACCCTGCATCACACAGAGCCGCGTGTGGCATCAGGCGCCATTGCTCAGCCAGCAGGGTGGTCTAGCCCTCGCATGCTCTGCTTGGTGTTACGATGGAACCTGTGGTTGTGTTTTCAGTATGATTCCGTACTGAGCTGGGGTAACGTCTCTTCCTCTCCTAGGGTGGCCGGAAGTCCAGGTGGCCGTGAGTGTGTGCAGCCCATCAGGCAGCCCCTTCTCCGCCCACCCGTGCTCTCAGTGTTGGGGTCTTGAGCAGTGTGCTTGCCTGGGACGTGGCCCGGTGTTAGTGGACTGGGCAGAGCTTCCTGCACACCACATGGGCAGCTCATTCTGTGTGGACATGGCTGGGCCTGGAGGCCACCGGGTGACAGTCACTCCCAGCTCTCCATCCCCTGTAGCCGCTGACTGCTTGCTCCGTCTGGAGACTGTGTATTTGCATCATTAGTAGCAATAGCTGAGTTTAGGGGGGCTCTTTTAAAGTTAGAGCCCAGTGTTAATCTCCAGTAGAAATGGGGGCGTATCTGTTGTTCACCCAAATAGTGAATGGACGTTTTGGAGAGATGTAACTGAGCTGTTTCTGGACTTGTTCAAGACCACGCAGTAGGTCTAGGAGCAGCTTGGGCTCGCTGTGGCCAGGGCAGCAGGTCCAGGAGCAGCTTGGGCTCGCTGTGGCCAGGGCAGCAGGTCCAGGAGCAGCTTGGGCTCGCTGTGGCCAGGGCAGCCCTCCTGGCCGAGTCTAGGAGTGCAGCCTCTTTTGGTTTGGACAGTGAGTGTACTGGTTTCGATGCTTTTGCCTGGCCTGGGTCAATTCTGTGCCAGCTGCAGTGTAGCCCCGCAGGGCAGCTGCCACCTCTAGAATTTTCTGAACTCCAAAGAAGGTTTGGTCATCTTTGGAGACAAGTTTGGTGATGTTCTGGACACCAGAGTTCCAGCAGCTCACCATCATCCCTTTCATGCAGGTGCAGCCATTCTGACGGTCACATGTTGGTGGTCACCTGAATGCTGCTGTTTGCGTCTCTCTGCCTGGCACCCTGAGCTCCATGGCCTGCTGCAGGCCTGGACGGCCCTCATGCGGGTCACTGTCGTGCCTCTCCTGTGGAACTTGAGTGCAGCCCGCAGCAGGTGCCCCGCTTAGGCGTCCCCTCTTTGCCCGTGCACACTGCCGGGGTCCCTGCCACGCTCGCACCAAGCTCTCTTGCCTGTGTGTTTTTGCATAAAGTTGCCAAAACACCATCACGTGTAAATAGTGGTCTGAGGCCTGGGAACCAAGTCTGTATATACTGTGCTCTTTAGGAGGCGGGAAAGCTGTCCCCGGGTCGCGGCCGCCCTCGGAGCCGACTGGATGTATATCTGAACATCGCATTGTACAGTGTGCACATGTTTGTGGTTGCATATGACAATGAAGTGTTTGTTTTATACTTTAATAAGACATCTGTTATGTACAGCTGAAATAAATTTTGCCTTTGCTAGCCTGTGGCTCTCACTGTTTGTTGCCTGGCGGGCGGGGGGGGCGTAGCGCAGTTGGCAGTCCTGAGGGGCCTGCCCTTGCCCCTGCCGGTCCTGCCGGACATGGCCCAGGCTGGGCACCCTTGATCAGACTTGAGTAACTCGTCCCCTTTAGAGCCAGTTTTCAGTCACGGGGCAGTCTTGTGCTGGTTTGCTGGGGCCTTGCGTTCTGCTTCTGTGTGTCTGAGGTCCCTGACAGCTGACTCCAGGGGAGGAGAGGAGCACTGGCCGCTGTGCAGAGCTGCCTTGGGTTTGGTCAGGGGCTGGAGGCTTCTGCGGAGACCGTGGTGCCCCCTTGCCCCAGTGGGGTGTACCCTGCAGGGGGGAGGGCGGTCCTGAAGCCAGCAAGGCTGGGCGCTGCCAGCCACAGAGGTGGACGCTTCAGTTCTGGTGGGATCGGAGCTTTGCAGGCTGTGGCATGCCTTCCTCATGCCCGCACGTCACACCATGCTGGGCTCTGGCCTTTCTGGGGGCGTTAGCTGTTAAGGTGAGGCAGGGAGCCCTAGTGGCCCCGGGCTGGGATTGGCATGGCAACTGCTGTTTCTACCTGGGCCCATCAAGGCGTGTGTGAGGCAGCAAGTGCCTGGCGGTATCTGGGCTTCCCAGGGCGAGGCACTGACCTGTGTAGCTCATGTTTTCACGTTGTGGCTCACACCTCTGCCAAGGTGAACATGGTGGGCATGTGGTGGGAGACCTGCTGGGTTGGACCGGACCGAGTCAGTGCCCGCCACACGGGCAGGTGCGGTACTCCACCTGGGACACAAACACAGAAGGTATCACTAAAGCTGTGCGAGCACTTTAAGGCCAATGCCACCAAAACCAGCGCTTGCAGCACCTCAGGTCTCCCAGAGTGGGGTGTTCCGGGAACCCCCTTGTTCTCTGGAAACACAGAATTTGGAAGCTCAGATTTGCTTGCAGGAACCCTGTGAGCGCCTCCAGCTTCCTGCAGGCCAGAGCCCTCGGTGCCCCCTGTTGACCGTCCAACACTGGCACTGGGGTGTCAGTCTCCCGCAGGCTGGGCACACACACATGCACCGTGAGGCACCCTCCCCTGCACAGTTGAACCAGAGTGCTTGGCAGCGTTCTCATTGCATCCAGAGCTCTGTCTTTCACCTGCTCTGAGGAGGAGGCTGGGTGGCTGGAGAGAGGGGCACCACTTGGGACAGTGCTGCTGGCTTAGGGCGCATGTCCTTTGTGACTCGGACCCATGTGCCATTTGAACACTTGAGTGTCTGGAGTACAGAATAGCCGGAGTGGACGTAAACTGAACAGTGCAGCCTTTCTCCCTGCCCCCACCCCGGGGCCGCTGTGTGAGCCCTCCCCAACCCTCCAACCCAGGGCTGCTATGTGAGCCCTCCCCCACTGCCCCCTCCCCAGGGCTGCTGTGTGAGCCCTCCCCCACCGCCCCCACCCCAGGGCTGCTGTGTGAGCCCTCCCCCACCGCCCCCACCCCAGGACTGCTGTGTGAGCCCTCCCCCACCGCCCCCACCCCAGGGCTGCTGTGTGAGCCCTCCCCCCACCCGGGGTCCCTGTGTGAGTCCCTCCCCTCTCCCCATTGTGTTACCTTTCTGAGAAGAGCAGTGCAGGACCCTGGGACGCATTCCGAGTTGTTTTGGTGTTGGACTCCAGCGTGGTCTCAGCCTCCTGGACTGAAGCTGCAGCAGGTGGGAATGGAGAACCTGGGGATGCTGCTGCGAGCAGGCTGTGGCATGCCTTCCTCATGCCCGCACGTCATACCACTGCTCTTCTCAGAAAGGTAACTCCCTCTGGGCGAGGAGGCCCAGGGCTGCTGCCGCCCTGCACCTGAGGTGTGGACACACCGTCTTCTTGGCCCTTTGTGCTGTTTTGGGCTGGCAGCAATGCTGTGTGTCCCTCACGCATGCCTGCTGTCCTCCATCCCCACCTGGGACCTGGAGTGACGAAGTGTGGCAAGGTCAGGAGGGAGCTTTTCTCCGTGGCTGTGGTCTGTCCAACTACCTCACCCTGGTGACTGGAAAGGGCCGAGAAGATGCCCGTGCATGGGACACCAGGGACCCCTGGCCCTCTCGACTCCTTGGAGATTTCTCTCTGGGAAGCCAGACGCCGTGAGCCTGAGGTGTCATGTGCCTGGTCCCCAGGTGGGGGTCAGGGTGTGAAAGGAAGCACCCCCACTACTGGGTCAGGCACATGCGGTGGGCTTGCTGCCATCAGCAGGGGCCCAGCTTCCAGGTAGTCCTTGGCAACTGGACTGTGTTCCCAAAGCCTTAGCTGACTTCGGAGGCCGAGACCCTAGGTCGGGCAGGAGAACTGCCCAAAGTCCTGGGGTGGCCGTGCTCGGTGCAGGGCTGGGTGACCCAGAGCCCCGTGTGGGTGTGAGGGTGCACGCAGCTCGCAGCCCAGAACCAGGCACAAACCCTGTGTTCTCTAACAAGTTAGCATTTCTCAAACTCGTCGCGCGTGCCGGGCCCAGCAGCACTGGCGGGACTGCGCGTCTGTGGGTACTGACCTTCCTCCAGCTTGCGTCAGGAATCATTTTTCAAAACCACCACGCTGTGGGTCCCAGCACTGGTGACAGCCACTTCCCTTGCGTCGTGCGAAGAGCTGCTCGTCCTCCTCCCCTTGCGGTGGAACCCGAAGCTGCGTTGTGTGCCGTCGCCCCCTCGCCACCAGACTTGAAGGACCCTCCGATGTCATGAATGGATTCTTTCCTTTACCAAAACGTTCAGGTTTCTGTGGCTAATAAAATTTTTTGTTCAAGAACCAAATGCTAAGCTTGGCTTTTTCTGAGCCCTGTGCTATAGCATGTGTGTTTTGAGATGGTGCTGTGGTGGCCAGGGTCTGACTGACAGATGCCGTGTGTGTGTGTGTGTGGTGTGTGTATGGTGTGTTGGGTCCTGTGTGTCTCCCCAGCACACGGGGGGGAGAATTTAGTGTCTCCCAATGTGGTTACAGTTTAGGGCCCAGGGCAGGACTCTGAGCTCCCGCCTGACAGGTTTAAATGTGAGCTGCAGTTGACAATTGAGGGACAAAGGTGGATGCATCTAGATGACCCAGGGGTCTCGGGCTGGCATGGTGGGGGTGATGACCCGGGGTCTCGGGCTGGCACAGTGGGGGTGATGACCCGGGGGTCTCGGGCTGGCACGGTGGGGTCTGATGACCCGGGGGTCTCGGGCTGGCACGGTGGGGTCTGATGACCCGGGGGTCTCGGGCTGGCACGGTGGGGTCTGATGACCCGGGGGTCTCGGGCTGGCACGGTGGGGTCTGATGACCCGGGGGTCTCGGGCTGGCACGGTGGGGTCTGATGACCCGGGGTCTCGGGCTGGCACGGTGGGGGCTGTTAGCCCACAGCTACTGGGGGATAGTCTGAGTCGTGTTGTAGAGGCAGCTTGCTCCTCTCTCTCCCCATGGAACTCACCTGCTGTGTCTCTGTGTTTTTTCTTTTGTTTCCTTTTAACTACTCTAGGTTCCCGCAAGGAGTCCGCCCCACAGGTCTTGCTGCCGGAGGAAGAGAAGATTATAGTCGAGGAGACTAAGAGCAACGGCCAGACAGTGATGGAAGAGAAGTAAGACGTCCTGGCACGCCACGGGCTCTGCTGCCAGTGGGCCCCGGGCTGCCCCGGGCGAGGCAGGCGGGGAGGCGGGGCTGGCAAGGCCGCTTAGCTCTTGCTTGCTGGCACACAGGTCCAGGTTGGAGCGCAGGGCGGGGGGCGGCCTGTGGTGTGCCCGGGTGGACCCGGCTTCCCAGGCACACCGTGCTTTCTGTTCCAGGAGCCTTGTTGACACGGTGTACGCATTGAAGGACGAGGTGCAGGAGCTGCGGCAGGTGTGTGGGCGGCACTCCGTACTGTTCTTGCACGCATTTCTGTGGGAGCAGTAGGAAAAGCCTAGTGGAGCGGAAGCTGGCTGGCTAAGCAAGAGAAGGCAGCCCTGCAGTCCCGCCGGGCCAGCCGGCATTCTGAGGGGTGCAGTAGGCCCGGGGCAGGGGTGCGGGAGTGAGTTGTTGCTGATGCTGTAGCCCAGTGTCACGGTAACTGTGCCCTAGAAATGAGGTGTGCTGACTGGGGTGTGTGTGTGTGTCTCAACCACAGTGCTGTTATTGGCTGGAGCTGGTGTGTGTGTGTGTGCGCGTGCAGTGTGCACAGGTCAGCCACAGTGCATGTGTGCTGAGGACTGTGTGTGGGTGAGGACTGTGTGTGTGTGTGAGGACTGTGTGTGTGAGGACTGTGTGTGGGTGAGGACTGTGTGTGTGAGGACTGTGTGTGCGAGGACTGTGTGTGTGTGAGGACTGTGTGTGTGTGAGGACTGGGTGTGTGAGGACTGTGTGTGTGTGTGAGAACTGTGTGTGGGTGAGGACTGTGTGTGTGTGTGAGAACTGTGTGTGCGAGGACTGTGTGTGAGGACTGTGTGTGAGGACTGTGTGTGAGGACTGTGTGTGTGTGAGAACTGTGTGTGTGTGAGAACTGTGTGTGTGTGTGAGGACTGTGTGTGGGTGAGGACTGTGTGTGTGTGTGAGAACTGTGTGTGGGTGAGGACTGTGTGTGTGTGAGGACTGTGTGTGTGAGGACTGTGTGTGTGTGAGAACTGTGTGTGTGTGAGGACTGTGTGTGTGGGTGAGGACTGTGTGTGTGTGAGGACTGTGTGTGTGTGAGGACTGTGTGTGTGTGAGAACTGTGTGTGTGTGTGAGGACTGTGTGTGGGTGAGGACTGTGTGTGTGTGAGAATGTGTGTGTGTGTGTGTGTGTGTTTGAGAACTGTGTGTGGGTGAGGACTGTGTGTGGGTGAGGACTGTGTGTGTGTGTGAGAACTGTGTGTGGGTGAGGACTGTGTGTGTGTGAGGACTGTGTGTGTGAGGACTGTGTGTGGGTGAGGACTGTGTGTGTGTGAGGACTGTGTGTGTGAGGACTGTGTGTGGGTGAGGACTGTGTGTGTGTGAGGACTGTGTGTGTGAGACTGTGTGTGTGTGTGGGACTGTGTGTGGGTGGGACTGTGTGTGTGTGAGAATGTGTGTGTGTGTGTGTGTGTGTGTGAGGACTGTGTGTGGGTGAGGACTGTGTGTGTGGGTGAGGACTGTGTGTGTGTGTGAGGACTGTGTGTGTGTGAGGACTGTGTGTGGGTGAGGACTGTGTGTGTGTGAGGACTGTGTGTGTGAGGTGTGTGTGTGTGAGGCTGTGTGTGTGGGACTGGTGTGTGTGTGAGGCTGTGTGTGTGTGTGAGGACTGTGTGTGTGTGAGGCTGTGTGTGTGTGTGTGTGTTGAGTGTGTGTGTGTGGACTGTGTGGTGTGTGTGAGGATGTGTGTGGTGTGAGGCTGTGTGTGTGTGAGATGTGTGTGTGTGTGTGTGTGTGTGTGAGCTGTGTGTGTGGTGGGACTGTGTGTGTGTGTGAGGACTGTGTGTGGTGAGGTGTGTGTGTGTGTGAGGACTGTGTGTGTGTGTGGGACTGTGTGTGTGTGTGTGGATGTGTGTGGGTGGGACTGTGTGTGTGTGAGGACTGTGTGTGTGTGTGAGGCTGTGTGTGTGTGAGGACTGTGTGTGTGTGAGGACTGTGTGTGTGTGAGAATGTGTGTGTGTGAGGACTGTGTGTGTGTGAGGACTGTGTGTGTGTGTGAGGACTGTGTGTGTGTGTGAGGACTGTGTGTGTGTGTGAGGACTGTGTGTGTGAGGACTGTGTGTGTGTGAGGACTGTGTGTGTGTGAGGACTGTGTGTGTGTGAGGACTGTGTGTGTGTGTGAGGACTGTGTGTGTGTGAGGACTGTGTGTGTGTGGACTGTGTGTGTGTGTGAGAACTGTGTGTGTGTGTGAGGACTGTGTGTGTGAGAACTGTGTGTGTGTGTGAGGACTGTGTGTGTGTGAGGACTGTGTGTGTGTGTGAGGACTGTGTGTGTGAGAACTGTGTGTGTGTGTGAGGACTGTGTGTGTGTGAGGACTGTGTGTGTGTGAGGACTGTGTGTGTGTGAGAACTGTGTGTGTGTGTGAGAACTGTGTGTGTGGGTGAGGACTGAGTTTCGCCCCTGTGTGCCCCAGGACAACAAGAAGATGAAGAAGTCCTTGGAGGAGGAGCAGCGTGCCCGCAAGGAGCTGGAGAGGCTGGTGCGCAAGGTGCTCAAGACGCTCAACGACCCAGCCTGGGACGAGACCAACCTGTGAGGCTGCTCAGTGCGGCTGCGGGGCTGGGGCGGTCCAGGTCAGCCGGCGGGCCCCGGCCCTGCACCGCACCACCCACTCCTGACCTGACTCACGGCGGCTTTGGACTCTGCGTCCTGGAATGTGATGGACACACACTTCCTGCACATGCTCTTGGCCGTGCCATCGCCCACATGGTCTGACAACCTCAGAGCCTCTCTGGAGTGCGCCTGCACCCCTGGGAGACAGCCCTGCACCCGCACACCGTCCCTCAGCCGGTGCATGGGCACCTGTAAATAGGACGTGTTATTTATTGTAGCCCTTGGTGCAGGGGCTTTCCAGGGCCCTGGCTGGGCCGCCTGGCTCAGCAGAAGCAAAGCAATACACATCGTGGGCACTCCATCTCTCCGGGACCTGGGCGGCCAGGAAGTGTGTGCCACCCTCCCTGGCCCAGGCTGGCCTCCTGCTTCTGGCAGTGAGTGCTGGCTGCCCAGGGGCTTGGCTGCAGTCAGGGCATCTTGTGTCCCAGGGCCAGACTGTCCACACCTGCTCCCACCTGTTTCTGGTTTCTTGCCTTGAACCCAGAGGCCGGAGAGCGTGTGTGTGCAGCCCTGGTCCCTCTCCCACTCCATTAGGCCTCTGGTGGCCCCTAGCTGGGCAGGCCCAGACCCTCCAGCCCTCTGTGCTGGCCGACACCAGCCTGGCCTGTCCTTTTGTACTCAGAGAGGCCAGCTGAGGCAACGGTGGTGTGCTGGAGAGCTCCAGCGCTACCATGTCAACTCAGGAACAGCTCCCTGCCACCAGAGCCTCAGCGCCTGCAGGACAGGCCCCCCAGAGCCTGTCCTAACTGCGAGTGGGGTGTTGCATGGGGGCCCCTCCCTGGGCTCTCCCCACCCCCACCAAGCCTGCCCTAACTGAGCAGTGGGGACCCCTATCCTGTCCGTGGCTGTCGTTCTAAAGGCGGGAGCTGGCGTGGGTGTGGAGGGTGTGCTGGGCCGCCTTCCACCCTGTCTTCCACCATCCCCCTGGGGCGTGCTGGCGTGACAAGTCCTTCCTCTGGCATCCAAGGCTCCTTGTCATGCTGGGTGACGTCTGTGTACGGCCTTGCCTCACTCTGGTTATGCCCATCATCTTTGTGTGTGGATGCCCAGGGGACCTGCAGGCAGCGGCATGGACAGACAGCGTGCCGCCGTCAGACTATGGGGTTCCCGCTGCACTGTCTCTATTAAACTTGGTATTTTTCTTACGTCACAAGCATGTTGGATGTCCTTGGCTATGTCTGAGGTGAAGGTGCCACCCTTGCTGTGTCCTCGCGTTTGTAGGTGCTGAGACCCTGCCGTGTGAGAATGCTGGAGACACTGAGGCCATAGGCCACGTGGCTGGGTGTCCCCGGGGTCATGTGAAGGAGCTCCTGCTGGGGGCAGCTGCCTGGTGCCTGCTGAAGCCTCACCCGGCCCTTGCGCAAGAGGCCAAGCTATAGCCCATCTCCACTGTGCTGCCCAGAACCTGGTCCCAAAGCCCGCGGGGACTGCCTCTGGCGCCTGCCGGGACACTGGGTTCGTTGTGGCAGCATTGTCCTCAGCCATGCCTTAGGGGTGCTAGTGCCCCAAGCCAGGGCTCCTGGCAAACTCTTGGCTTGTGAGATGGCATGCCACCCTAGGGCTCCGCAGCTGTGCTGTGGGTGACGGCTCTGTGGCCAGCAGCGAGCAGGCTCCCGTCCCTGTGTCTTCTCAGGACAGGCTGGCAATGGCAGAGGTCCCTGGGGGGCGGCTATGAGGACTCAGGAGACAGCAGGGTCCACCCTGTGTTCCTGCTGTGGAACTCCCATCCCCCTCCTCCAGGCTAACACGAGCAGGCACCCATGTATCTGACCCAGCAGAGGGACTAGGGTTACAAAACAGACAACACACAGTGGATCATTCTTGTAAAGAGAATGCCATTTATTCAAAGTCAGTCCGCATCTTTTATAGTCTGCTTGGCTCCTCCCAGTATTTTCCCAATGCTCAAGGACACCTAAGCTCCCCCAGGGCATGTTAAAAAGGGGAAGCAGGAAGGAGGGAAATTGCAGTCAAGCCAGGGGCTAAATGTATCAGGCCAAGATTGCCCTTCCTGTTACACCTTGAGAAACAAGCTAAGCTGTGGAGTTAACCCTTGGGAGACCGGGGCCTACATCTGGCCCTGCCCTATCCCTTGGTTCTGTGAACCAGCAGGTGGACGGTCTCTGCTTCCTCCCTCCCTCCTTGCTCAGGGAGCCGCCATTGCCATGAACCCCAGGTCGGTGTGCAGCCTGAGTCTGGCACTCCAGGATTTGTTCTTGAACTGCTTTTAGTTGGCAGTGCAGGACTCAGAGCAGTGGAAAGGGAAGGAGCAGACAGCAGAGTGCTGGTTCGAGTCCTGGCTGCTGCACTTGCCATTCAGCTGTGGGAGAGGGGCCGTGACTCCAAGGGTCAGCTGTGGGGGAGGGTTGTGACTCCCTGGGGGTCAGCTGTGGGGGAGGGAGGGGTGTGACTCCCAGGAGTCAGCTGGAGGGAGGGGTGTGACTCCCTGGGGGTCAGCTGTGGGGGAGGGAGGGGTGTGACTCCCTGGGGGTCAGCTGTGGGGGAGGGGTGTGACTCCCTGGGGGTCAGCTGTGGGGGAGGGGTGTGACTCCCAGGGGGTCAGGTGGAGGGAGGGGTGTGACTCCCTGGGGGTCAGCTGTGGGGGAGGGTTGTGACTCCCTGGGGGTCAGCTTGGGGGAGGGAGGGGTGTGACTCCCAGGAGTCAGCTGGAGGGAGGGGTGTGACTCCCTGGGGGTCAGCTGTGGGGGAGGGGTGTGACTCCCTGGGGGTCAGCTTGGGGGAGGGAGGGGTGTGACTCCCAGGAGTCAGCTGGAGGGAGGGGTGTGACTCCCTGGGGGTCAGCTGTGGGGGAGGGGTGTGACTCCCAGGGGGTCAGCTGGGGGGAGGGGTGTGACTCCCTGGGGGTCAGCTGTGGGGGAGGGAGGGGTGTGACTCCCAGGGGGTCAGCTGTGGGGAGGGAGGGGTGTGACTCCCTCAGGGTCAGCTGTGGGGGAGGGGTGTGACTCCCTGGGGGTCAGCTGTGGGGGAGGGGTGTGACTCCCAGGGGGTCAGCTGTGGGGGAGGGGTGTGACTCCCAGGAGTCAGCTGTGGCTCCCCCTGCTGTTCACATGTCGCTGGGTCCCCTGGCCTGGCTGCCCTCCTCCACTGTCCCAAGCAGTCCCTGATTTAGGTCAATTCCTGGTGAGAATGTGGAGGTCACAGCTGGTCAAGGACTTCCTCTGTGCTTCTGCCCGTCCCTTGTGGGGCTCTTTCTGGGCAGTGGCATTTGCTGCTCTGTGTGCCCCCAGTGATGCTCAGTGTGCCCCAGGGTGGCAGCTGGCAGGATGGGTCTGCTCTGTGGTGACAGTCGCAGCAGCATGTTGGGTACGTTCCTGTCTTGGCCACAGAGCCACTTGCTTTGGGGACAGATGCCAGTCAATGCAGGGCACAGCGTTTAAACCACTCCCCTCAGCCCTTCTGTGTTGATCAGAACAGGGTCCAGGGCTCCAAGGGGGGAGCGCGGTGTGGGGTGCAGGGCAGATCTCCACTCATAGCCCTGGTCCCCACAGGGTGCTTTGGGCACCCAGGGGTGGACGTCAGTTTCTTGTAGGGCACACCTCAGCTCCAGAACAGAAAACGGCGCCAAGTGCTGGGTTGATAGCACGTGCTGGAGCACCATCCCCTGTCACCACAGAAGTGACTGCCAACAGCTGGGCAGGGAGTGCAGGCCAACCCCAGGGGCTTGGTGAGGCTGAGGGATAGGGCAACAAGGGCAGGCCGCCTGAGGGCAGGGGTGCCCAGGGCAGGGGAGCCTGAGGGTAGGGGCAATGAGGGCCGGACGCCTGAGGGCAGGGGTGCCCAGGGCAGGGGAGCCCAGGGCAGGGGCGGCGAGGGCAGGGGCGCCTGAGGGCAGGGATGCCCAGGGCAGGGGCACCTGAGGGCAGGGGTGCCCAGGGCAGAGGTGGCGAGGACAGGGGCGCCTGAGGGCTCTCACTCATCCTGTCCAGCTCCAGGGTTCCAGGAGTCACTGCTGTCGCACTAAAAGTATCTTAGCTCTTTAAAAAATCTGCTTCCCTTCCCGCTCCGTGCTGATGGTCTGGGAACGCAGTGCAAGGTGGCCCTAAGCCTTGGGCTCCTGCATCCTTATGGGACGGGAAGATGCTCCTGCCACTGTGCCAGCGTGGGGGTGAGCGGGAGGGAAGATTCTCGTTCACTGTAACCCTGCCTCAGCTTGGGGTGCATCTCATCAGCTGGTTCACTACCCACGTGATGGCAAGAGCCAGGGCTCTGCCAGGCCAAAGCTGAGACCCCAGTCATCCCCCGGTGAGCAGGAAGCTGCAACAGAGCCCCAGGCGCTCCGGCCCGGGCAGGATCCTGTCGCACCAAAGCCCTGCTGCGTGCAGCCAGGCTGTGGGGGGTTCTCTCTGCTGTGTCCATGAGGACTGGGGTCAGAGTGGGTACTGAAGGGTGCACTGGCCAGCGCAGCAAGGCAGAACTAGCAACACAGTCCTGGGAAGCAGTGCCTCCCTAGATGGCCGCAGTGGCCAAAGCCAGGAGCCAAGAGTCTCCTCTGGCTCTCCCAAGGACCCGAGCCGTGGCAGGCAGCAGCCTGGACTTGAACCAGTCCCCATGTGGGATGCCGCTCTATGGACAGCAGCTTTGCCTGCTCTACTCTGTGGCAGACAGACCAGGGGCCTCCTTGACTCCCAGGACCCCAGGATGTCAGCAGCCTGGATCTGCAGGAATCATAAGAGTGATACAGGAAAAGGGGCCACCAAGGGCAGCCCTGGGTCGGGGGGACTTGATCTGGGAGCCACCTGTCGGCCCAGAGCTCACATCCAGTACCGCCCCTTATTGACTGCGCGAGGGGATGGGAGCCTACAAGCTCCCCAGGGCCGGCCCTGGCTGTCTGCAGAAGCCTACCCCTTTGGAGTGTACCACTGGCAGCCCAGACTGAGTGAGCCAGCGTCCCCAGCAGCTGCTGCACATCTCGGGTCGTTGTTAGGAGAGGCTGATAACAGCACGGCAGCTGCCCCTGGCTGCTGGCGGCCCAGGAAGTCCTGGGAGGCGGCCGGGACAGGCTTGCTGCATGAGGCTTTGGGCCAAGGGTGCCAAGGGCGGCTGGGGTGCTTATGAGGAGACGTGGGCTCTGGACAGAGACCCTGAGAGCTGGCACCAGTGGCACCTTGTCCCGGGGCAAAGGGTACCATATCCTCTGGGACTGTTGGGGTCCTGGGGGACCACATGGGGTATCCTGAAAGGGTATTCATATGTTGAATAAAAACAGCAGCCACTGTTCAGGCAGACCTGGCACACACATGGAATGAGTGTGGCAACGGCAGAGACACGGCCCCAATGGGATCACCTGCCTGGCCAGGCTGCTTGTGTCTCAGCTGACTGGATGCTTACAGCACCTCTCCCCCCTGGAGCTTGAGGCAGAGTTTCTGCAGCATGGGGGGAGCTGTGTGTGCCCCCAGTCTGCAGCCAGCCTGACAGGCTCTCTCCAGGGACGTCTGTTGTCCTAGTTCCAGTCAGAACAGTAGACGTGTTTGGGGGTAGAAGGATTCATCTCTGGCCACGGGCACTGGCTGTGAGATTGCATCCTACAGGAGGTGATTCAGCCCCTGTGGCTAGGCCACCTGCTGGCCCAGCATCCCGGCCATGAAGAGACCCCTGGCCCATGCAGGCTCTCCAGGCCAGTCCTGACTCTGCACTTCCCTGCTGCTGGCCCCACTCCCAGCACAACATTGATGGATGAGGAAGGGTCCCTGGCAGACGAGCTGCTGTTACAGGTTGAACAGGACCCATCAGTGGGGCAGGTGCTTCAGCCTGACATCTTGGCACGGTTGCTTCGTGGTCTGGGGGTGGAGGCTACCAAGAATGCTGGCCAGGCCACATGCTCTGCTTCCTGGTCACCCTGTGCGCCTTGATCGTCGACTTGGGGCCCTTCTCTCTCCCTCCATCCCTGTCAGTAAGCCAGCCTCTCCCCTACATGCAAACAGCTGCCCCTGAAGGGGCATCACTGCTTTCACTTCCTGGGTGGGGTACTTGTGCGTCCCCCATCACCTTCACACTGCAGCCTGACCCTGGCACCCAGGGCCCCTGCAGCCTGGGCAATGGGTGCCTCCTGCGCTGTCTCAGATGGGCTCTTCCACCTGCTGCGTGGGCAGTCCCCTGCCTCAGCCCCTGCCTGGCACTGGTCCATGTGTCTCCCCCGGGAGACGGCGTTTTGTATGTCTGTCTGCCATTCCTCAGCAGGCATGCTAAAAGGAAAGGCGTGGGGAGGAACAAGGGCAGAGCTCAGGTGGCTGCAGCCAGCACCAGCGGGCTCTTCCACCTCTCCCAGGAAAGCCCTCTGACCTGTGGGCTGTGTGACATCACAGTGGGCGGGGCTGGGAGCATGCTCCATTGGCCGTGAGCCGGACGGGAGGAGGTGGTCGGTTTCCTGTTTTAGTTGAGAGGGTTGTTCCCCCACCTGGGATTCAGTGCAGGAGAGAGAACCCCCAGGCACACATGAGGGGCAGGTGGGCTGCGGGGCAGCCCTGTCCCTGGGCTGAGGAAGGGCCCCCATCTCTGCTGTGGGCACCCTGCCATGTACTCAGCCCCATACGTGTGTGTGTGTGTCTTCCAGATCCCGCCTGAGCCACTATGAGGTACACGCCGGAGATGAAGAAGTCGCCACCACATGTGCTCAAGAAATTTGCAGGTGACCGGGGCAGCATGGGGTGCCCACCTTGGCTGGTGGCGAGGATTTGGGCTAACCTCCTGGGCCTCTGTCCCCATGGGGAGGGGCCAGAAGATGGACTCCGAGCAGCTCCCAAGGGTCTTTTGCGTTGTGGGGATTTTCCCTGCGTGGGCTGCCTTTATTTTCATGAAGGAGCCACGGCACTTGCCTTCCAGCCCCGCGCTGTGGGAGCTGAGCCCCTTGGGGCCCAGTGTATGTCACATGGTTTGTCCTCCAGCCTCAACCCTGGTGGGAGTGTGTGTGTTCAATGGGGTCCCCCTCCACCAGGGAGCAGGCACCTGCCTGGGCAGAAGACCCCCAGGGAGAACGTTGGTACTTCCAGAATGCATGAGATGGGGCTGGGCTGGGTTGGTGGCCAAGAAGTCATGGAGAGGGGCTGGATGTGCCTGCTTTGCTTCCCAGGGTGCTGGCCACGGAGGGAACGTTTATGGTGAAGGTTCTAGGTACTGCATGGTGGGGGGTGTTGAAGGTGCAAGCAGGAGGCCTTGGCCACCTTGGTCCTGGGGTGGGACGGACAGGCTTGTCTGTCCACCTAAGCAGGGTTGCTGGAGTCAGGCAGAAGGGGCCACCTCACGGTTGGCAGGTGCACCAGAGTCCTGCCTGAGCTACTTCCTGATACAGACTATCCCTCTGCCCAGTTCTGACCAGTGGGGTTCCTGGATGCTGCCCGTTTAGGGAACAGACACAGCTGCATGGCAGCTGGCATCACTGCCCTTGGCAGCAGCCACTCCCTCATGGATCACCGTGACCTGGCACAGCTGGGCCCCTCTGGTGTCTCGGATGTTGTAGATCTGGGTCTGCCAGGTCCTGCTAAGCCCCTGAGTGACCCCCTTCCAATGGACCCAGACCTTCAGCCCCTCTGGTGGCAACCTTGGCCTCCTTGCCAGCTCCTCCTCACTGCCCCCCACATTTCTCTCTGGGTCCTTATTCAGCTTGGATGTGGGGAGCTTGCAGTCAAGGTCAGAGGTGTCCCTGGCCTATGACACCCATGGGAAGCGGGGTCCCGTAGCCCACAGGAACACAGCCTGGGGTGCAGGGGCAAGGGGTTGAGGAGGCCAGGGAGCAGCGTGCAGGCTATGCTCGCTGCCCCAGCCATCCTGCTTGCCGGTTCCAGGGTGGGACCCACGTGGTGGTTCTTGTGGCGGTTGGCAGCACCTCCAGAAAGCGGGGTTCCTCTCCTGGGGTGACTGAGTTTAGAACCCTGCCCCCCACCAAGGTCCCCCAGGCCTGGTCCCTGCATCAGCTCCCTGTTGCGCGGTCACAATGCTGCAGCGGAACCCGGGCTGGGCATTCCAAGGGAGCGCTAGCAGCTCAGAGGGGCTGCAGGTGCCTCTCCCTGCTCAACCGCCAGACCGGAAGGACCTGGGTCAATCCCCCCACCACCACGTGGGCGTCACCGGGTGCCGACCCCTTCAATGGGAGGAGGTGCGCTGGCTGCCCCTGTTACACGGTGGCTGCAGCAGACCACGCAAGGTGGGCAAGCTGGCAGGGGTGGGGCAGGGCCATGTCTGCAAGGCTGAACAGACAGGACTGGGTGTCACCTCTTTGCTTTCTCTGTCCCTGCAAATGTGGCCTGAACAGACAGAGAGGGAGGTAAGGAGACCCCGGTGTGGTGCCCTGGGTCCCCGCGGAGTGTGTGTTGGGGGTGTGGGTGGGGGAGGGGAGGCCCCAGCTCACACTCTGCAATCAGCACCGAGCCGTTTGCAGGGACAGAGTGGGGCCAGTGTGTCATGCTTAAAAATGACAGCCATAGCCCCCAGGGACTGCCCCAGGTGGGACCTGAGCCCCACCCTGTCCTGTGCATGACCCCACAGTGTGTGACATCCCGCTGTATGACATCTGTGACTACAATGTCTCCAGGGACCGCTGCAAGGAGCTGGGCTGCTGCTTCTACAAGGGTGTCTGCTACGAGAAGGCTGTTCCCAGTGAGTGTCCCCCTTCCATCAGGGTCTCTGCTGGCCATGGGCTGAGGCTGCCCAGAGACTCTTGAGTGTGTCTGAGGTGGAGGGGCATCCTGGGACATCAAGATGGCACCCCACGTTCCTTGGGGCCCAGGAGCACCTGGATGGGTCAGAGGGAGCGGAGGTGGACCCTCCAGGTGGAGAGCTGCTTCCAGCTGAAGGCCCTTTCCCGCTCTTCCAAAATGGCGCCACCCATGGCCAGTCTGCAGTGTTGTGCAAGAGTCAGTGTACCCCGCAGCCTCTCCAGCTGGTAGGGCAGGCCAGCTTGCTGTGCTCTGGATCACAACTCCCTAAGAGCGGGTGGTGCCGGGTACCTATGCCTGTGCTTAGAGGCCAGCTGTGTGCGGGTGTGTGTCTGCAGAAAACGCCATGGGCCTGGGACTGGTTCTCAGGCGGGTTACTTGTTGTTAGTTGGGTTACCCGCTGTCGGTTGGGTTAGAGGTCAGTTGGGCTGCTGTGGTTGGATTGCTGTCAGTTGGGCTGCTGTTCTGTCGGTTGCAGAGCAGCTTGTGTGCTCTGGGTGTTAGGACTTTATCAGTAACACAGTCTGTAAATCCGTTCATCTTCTGGCCATTGGCACTTTGATTTTTCTTAAAATTTATTTATTTATTTGAAAGACTGAGAGACAGCAGTGTGTGTGTGTGTGTGTACGCACGCACTGGTTCACTCCTCAGATGCCTGCCATGCTGGGTGGGGCTGAGCCAGGCCCAGGCCAGGAACCCTGAACTCCACTGGGGTCTCCCATGTAGGTGACAGGGGCCGAATGTTCGGCGGCTTTCCCTTGTGTTTTAGGCAGTGAGCCTGATCAGAAGTGGAGCAGCTGGGACCTGCACCAGTGTTACCATGGGATGTGGGTGTCTGCATGCTGTCTAACTAGCCACACCAGAGCAGCATCCAATCTAAGTCTGCTGGGCATGTCCATTTTCACCTGGATGTGCCATCTGTTGTTTCAAGCCACAGCGGTTTGTGGATTGGTGGTACACATAGGCTCAGTCTAAGATTGAGACCACCAACAGCCTCCAATGGTGCAGAGCCATTGCTCCTGCAGTTACAGTTTTGGTCCACTTGGAGTTAATCTTCATATATGGTTCCAGAAGGGTATCCTTGCTTTTGCATGTGGATGTACAGTTGGTCAAGCAACTTAATTTAGTGTGTGTGTGTTAAAAGGTTTAATTATTTGCTTGAAAAACAGAGTGACGAGAGAGAGAGAGGTAAAGACAAAGACCCATCTTCCATCTGCTGTTCCCTCCCCGGATGGCCGCCTTGGTCTGGACTGGACGCAGTTGGAGCTGGGAGCTCCATGCCGGACTCCGACGTGTGGCAGGGTCGAAGTATTTGGGTCATCTGGTGCTGCTTTTTCAAATACATTAGCAGGTAGCTGTTCACGCTGGCACTCATCGGGAGCAATGACTTACATGCTTTGCCATGGCATCGGGCCCTGAGCGATTCTCCACTGAGTTGGTACCGCTGTTGATTGATTTGTGAACCCTCAGCTCTGCCCCTTTCATCGGGGTCTGCACTTAGCCAGGGCCATGCAGTCTTCTTCCTTTAGTTAGAGAGAGGGGCCCAAGGACATGAGTCATCCTCTACTGCAGGCCTTCAGCAGGGAGCAGGAAGTGAAGTGGCCAGGACCCAAACCGGGATGTCTGGCACTGCAGGAGAAATGTTAGTTTGCCATTATGCCAGTCCCACAATTGGGTTTCTAATACTGATGTCATTTATGGCCGCACTGTGGGGCTTCTGTAGGTGATTCTGTAGCATTCTCTGTTTCTAGGATCTTGCCACCTGCCACGGAGGCCGTCTTCCACCTCCCTTCCCTAGTCAGAGTGACTGCGGCATGCTGGCTGGCTCTCTTCCCCGGCTGCAAGCTCTGGCACAGCGGGCAGAGCCCTGGGCTTGCTCCTGGTCTGGTCTGCCCATCACTGTGGGTTTCTGTGTGTGCACCTGATGGAAGCTCTTTGCTGTCCTCCAGGGCGTTGTGTGTGCTCCTGGGTGTGGTCTGACTCTTGCTGCTTGCTGGGCCCTACCAAGGTGCCCGCTGTCCCTCTGCTGTCAGATTAGTGTCCCCTTCCTCCTCGAGGTGTGTCTGAGTGTGGCAGTGTTGCCTGGCATGGCAGCCTTTCTGTGTGGCTTATCTCTGTCTTGGGGCTTCTGGCTGTGGACCCGAGGCTCGCCTGCGTGTGGCATGTCACTTCCATCCTCGCACTTGCTCTGTCCATCTATGACACAGGTCTGGTAAGAGCTGTTAACTCTGGGTCCATGTTGATAGGAGGCTGTTCCCATTGGTTCGCCAGCATTTGAGAGGCAGAGAGAGAGAATGAAAGAGAAGCACTTACAGGCTTTCCTATCTGCTGGCATACTTCCCACACACTGGCCACAGCTGTGCAGTCAGTCGAAGGTTGGAGACTCGATCCAGGTCCCCATGTGACATGAACGCAGCCGTCTGAGCTCCCAGGGTCTGCACTGGGAGGGGCTGAGGGCCAGAGCTGGGCATGAGTTGAGGGGCAGGACCCAAGGGACCCTCCCAGGCTCACGTCCAGCTGGAATGCCAGCATTTCCTCCACCTGCTGCTGGACTTGTAGACTCGGAGGCGTCTCAGCTTGAGGGACAGGCTGCCGTGGGGGCTCCTCGTGGGCTCTGTTGCTCAGCCCCTCCCGTGGAAAGCTTGGGACGGCACTTGGGGCCGCCACAGAGCGGGGCAGAGAGGTGCGTATTAACTTCCTTGTTCGCCTGTGACTCAGTGGTGCTGCCCTGGGCAGTGAGTCCTGCATCTGGGGCCCACTGCACAGGCTGAGGTGGGTCACCATCAGCATTGGTGATGACGCATGCCGCTGGGTGTCAGGAGTGTGTTGGGAGAGCCCAGCGCCAGCTCCTTGTGTGGGCTGGCTCCCAGTGGGCCTTGATGTGTGCTCGAGAACACGGACTCACAGAGAATGGAGAGCTGGGCAGGTAAGGCTCGCCTGCCTCTTCTAGGTGGGACCCAGGCATGTTATGTGATCTGCCGGCCCCATGCTGCACCTCGCACGGCTTCTCCACGCTGAATGACAAGTCGCCCCAAACCTAGGTGTCTGCAAAAGACCAGTCCTCAGGGCATAACTTGAGTCTCACGAACTTGCACTCTGGGGTCACCCGAGGCTCCGTCACCCCAGGCCTGACCACACGTGGGCCTATGGAAGATGGAGGAGGGCTGGTCACCCAGGCAGCGGCAGGCTGACTGCCTCGCCGGGCCCAGCCTGGGACCCGACCATCACACACAGCCGAGCCGCCCCGCTCCGGCCCCACCCTGGCGAGCTTGTAAGCAGGAACTCGGGCCCCATCATTGGCCCCAGCCACATGAGTGATCCCAGCGGCCGTGTCACCTCCCCTGGGAGCTGGCTGGCCTCACCGCCCGCTTCCAGCCCCGATTGAGCTCCCTGGTGAAGTTCTCGAGGGAGGCCCTGGGGATGGGCCGGGGAGGAGTAGGGCAGCCATCAGCACGTGGCTTACCTGCCTGAACCATGTCCGCATGGAATGTGTACAGAGTCCAGACAGACTGCTGCCAGCCGGCTGGGGCTGTGGGGGTGGGTCCGCCCTCAAAGGGAGATTTTGGGGAGACAAGGGCAATCGGGCTGGGAATCTCGGGTCCTGCTGGGTGACATTGTCCTTCCCTTTAGCTGTAGGCGGCATCTGCCTGCCTGTGCGGGCCCTGCCCGGGGAACTGAGGGTCAGGGAAGGTGGGGGCAGGCTGCAGTGGGTCAAAGGTGTAGACGTCTCAGTCTTTTTTCCCAGTGACTGTATGTGGGGAGGTTCTCTGGGTTGCTGGGTGAGCAGGGCCTGTATCCCATGCTTGGATGTAGGGTCCCCCTTTGCTCCCCGTTTCTGTGAGTCTGGATGTGCAGCAAAAGGCCACTTAGAGCACCCGCACCCGCCTGTCTCAGTTTATGTGCAGATCTTCTCTGCCTTGATTGTCCTCATCGCCGGGGCCTTCATCATCACCATCATCTACAGGTGGGTTCCCACTGAGCATGTCAGCCATGCATGGCCATGGCCCACTCCTGGAACACAAACTCCCTGGTGACGTGGCTACTGTCATTTGGTGCAGCTGCAAGAGAGCACCTGGCTAGGGTGTGCTATGAACCCTGTGCTGTGTGGGATCCAGGAACCATGTGCTGTGTGCTGTGCTGTGCGCTGTGTGCTGTGTGCTGTGCTGAGCTGTGTGACATGGGCTGTGCTATGCTGTGTGCTGTGCTGTGCGCTGTGTGCTGTGTGCTGTGCTGAGCTGTGTGACATGGGCTGTGCTATGCTGTGTGCTGTGGGCTGTGCTGTGTGCTGTGCTGAGCTGAGCTGAGCTGTGTGACATGGGCTGTGCTATGCTGTGTGCTGTGCTGTGCGCTGTGTGCTGTGCTGAGCTGTGTGACATGGGCTGTGCTATGCTGTGTGCTGTGCTGTGCGCTGTGTGCTGTGTGCTGTGCTGAGCTGTGTGCTGTGGGCTGTACTGTGTGCTGTGCCGTGGACTGTGTGCTGTGTGCCGTCGGCTGTGAGCTGTGTGCTGTGGGCTGTGCTGAGCTGTGTGCCGTGGGCTGTGAGCTGTGTGCTGTGCTGTGGACTGTGGGCTGTGTGCCGTGGGCTGTGAGCTGTGCCATGGGCTGTGCTGTGTGCCATGGGCTGTGAGCTGTGTGCTGTGCCGTGGACTGTGGGCTGTGTGCCGTGGGCTGTGCTGTGTGCCATGGGCTGTGAGCTGTGTGCTGTGCCGTGGACTGTGGGCTGTGTGCCGTGGGCTGTGCTGTGTGCCATGGGCTGTGAGCTGTGTGCTGTGCCATGGACTGTGGGCTGTGAGCTGAGCTCAACTGGAACTGGTGCTCAAATGGAGTGCAAGCACTGCGTGTGGTAGCTTCAGGGGCCACGTCCCGGTGCAGGCCCCAGATGACAGCCACCAGACAGGAAGAGGCGTGTCCGGCTGTGCAGTCTGCGTGTTCACAGCCGGACACGCCTCCACGGGGCGGGCGGCGTGGTCAATTCCCACTCCCCTCAGAGTGGTCCAGGAGAGCAGGAGGGAGAAGGAGGCTGCCACGGAGGTCGCCCCGGTGTCCGAGAGCAGTGAGAAGCCCGAGACGGTTCCATCTTGGGGCGAGCCCGAGGCGCAGCCTATGATTCAGCCCCCTGACGCGGACGAAGACCAGATCGGTAGGAGAGCTGCCCGGCGCTGTGACCTCTGACCACGTGACCTCTGACCTGACCCCTCCCCCTGTGACCTCCAACTCTGCCTGCCTCCCAGAGAAAGCCGAGGCTGTGGCTGCAGCTTGGGCCGAATGCTGTCCCTTGCCCCCGGGAGTGCTGAGTGAGGGTTCCCCTAGCAGAGCCATCAGGGCATGGCCTGGGCCTGGCCAGGTGGCCAGCAGACCGTGCGATGGCCGGTGTGGGCTGTTGGGGGGCTGACAGGATGTGCAGGCAGACAGGGGTCATCTCTGGAGGCCCCGGGCATTGCAGGTATCAATAGCACCCCTGCTCTGTCCTGTTCCTCTTGTTCCTCCAATCCAGGCACCGTGACAGCCTCAGGGACTGAGGCCTCCACCAAGGACTGAGGCTGCCAGGAGCGGCTACTGGGCCCACCCCAGGATGAGAGGGGCAGCCACTGCCCCACGAGAGAAAATAAAGGTATTTTGCAAAGAGCGTCTCCCCCGCTGCCTCCTCGGCCATTGGCAAGTTTCATCCTGGGAAGAGAAAGCATGTAGGTGAGTTTATGACACTGGCCTTCGGGGCACTGTGGTCCCCAGCGTGCATCCCAAAGCATCTCTGGCCAGCTTTCCCGAGGACAGGCACCTGGATGCGGAACTGTGGGGATCCCCAGGTCTGGGGACTAGGCTGTGTTAGAGCGCCCCCAGCAGCCCGAGGCCTGAGGGACAGCTGCCCACCCCAACTCTGCACCCCAGGTGTGGCTGCCCTCCACCCCTCACTCTGTACCGGGTGTGGCTGCCCTCCACCCCCCCACTCTGTACCCCAGGTGTGGCTGCCCTCCACCACCCCACTCTGCACCCGGGGTGCAGCTGCCCTCCACCACCCCACTCTGTACCCCGGGTGTGGCTGTTCTCCACACCCCCACTCTGCACCCGGGGTGCGGCTGCCCTCCACCCACCCACTCTGCACCCGGGGTGCGGCTGCCCTCCACCCCTCACTCTGTACCCCGGGTGCGGCTGCCCTCCACCTCCCCCCCACTCTGTACCCCGGGTGTGGCTGCCCTCCACCCACCCACTCTGCACCCGGGGTGCGGCTGCCCTCCACCCCTCACTCTGCACCCGGGGTGCGGCTGCCCTCCACCCACCCACTCTGCACCCGAAGTGCGACTGCCCCATGTCTGCTGCATGAATGCCACTCCGCAAGACGTCCTGTGCCCAGCTGGACACAGCCCCTGCGTCTCTGAGGCTGGGAATGGGCAGCAGCACCTCTGACCCCTTCCAGCCTCAGGCAGGGTGAGAGGATGAGGTACTGGCATCCAAGTCCCAAAACTGGCATGAGAGACTCCCTGGTTTCCAGAAGTCCCAGTTGTAAATAAACTGAGCATGGATGGGCTTGAATGCAGGCTGACTGTGTGCTGTGGGCTGCATGCTGAGGGCCAGGACTGAGGGCCAGGACTGCTCAAACACGAGGGCCCGGGTATATGCATGGGTCAAAAACTGGGGAACTAACTCAGTGACCACACCACAGCAGCGAGTCCACCAGGAGCCAAGGGCTCTGGATAGACCAGTCCCTGGGCGGGGCCTGAGGCTGGACCAGCTCCATGCTGACTTAGCAAGGAGTGCCTCACCCTGGGAGGCCGGGTGAGGGGGAAGAGCCCCAGGGTGGGACACCAGGAAGTCAGGCCCCAGCTGGGCCCCTGGAGAGAGCAGGGTTTGCAGGGGTGAGGGAGGCGCAGCCACATGGGTCTGTTGGGCAAGATGGCTTCCAGCTGTGCCTGTTGGAGGAGTGGGAAGCCCCGGGGGCAGTGGGCAGCAGCCATGGCACCTGGCTCTTCCATGGACCAGTCAGGACCCAGGACCACACCCACTCATGGGCAGTCCTGAGCAGTGGACTGAGTGGACCAGCATGCTGGCCGAGGTCCTGGTGGGCGCATGGAGGAGGTGATGTGAGTTTGTCCTGCGTGTATAACCCATGGCAGGCAGGACTCTTCCAGGAGCCTAAGGAGGTGGCCCCTCCTACAGTCTGGCCCATGGATGGTTCCCTGCTTCCCTCTTGGTCACCTCACAAAGCTATGAGCGGTGCTGGCCTCCAGCTGGGCTATGGCTTGCACCTGTGAGTGCCCTCAGCTGGCCCGCTGGCCACAGCCCGTGCCTGTCCTGGAGCTCACAGGCGAGGTACAGAGGGCGAGGCGGGCGGCACCCCACAAACCAGGTATCTGTAGGAGTTCTGTAAGTCCCTCCTCAGGGGCCCCTGTGGCCGACTCCCACCCTCCAACCTCTCCTATTGCACCCCAGGCCATCACAAGCCATGCAGGGGCTGGCTTTCTCCTGTAGCAGGCACACACTCTCCTGGCTTTATCCACATGCCACTGTTGGTGTGTGCAGCCTGTCCTGCCTGGGTCTGCGTCTGCGTTGTCGTTGGTGTGTATGTCTGGAACTCCTTCCGGTCCAGCAGGAGGTCTGTCCCTGGTGATGGGATCATCGCTCAGCATCTTGCTTGCACCTGCTGCTTGACACTGGGTGGTCTCCAGGGTGGGGTGCTTGCAGGGGGGCCACCCGCATTCCACATGCAGGTGTTTGTGTCGACATGGGCTTGCCCTGCAGGTGTCAATACAGGATGGCAGGTGTAGATGAACCTTCCTCAGCATCCCCTCGTCCTGCAGGCCCCCTCACCAAGGCCCGCTGCGGGCGGGCTCTCTGAGGCCAGCTCCTGCACAGGCTGAGCGTCAGCCACCCACAGCGGGCTGTCTGCAGGCCCGTGGCCATTGGTGGCCGTTTGGGGCGTGAAGGTGTAGGTGGAGGACCTGTCTCTCTCGCTGCATAGCTCAGCCTTCCACGTTCTTCTCCCTCGTAGGGTCTGTAAGTTCTTGCCTGCTTTGAGATCACAAAGATGATGTTGTGTATTTTGTTTCTAGGTGTTTGAGTGTGTCACCCTTTTGGTTTAGGTCCGGTGAGTTGAATTTGAGTACAGCACTGGCTTGTGGGTCGTTGGTGCTTCCGTTCTCCAAGGCCTCACACCTGCTGTGAGGGTCAAGCACCCACGTTTCTCCGACACCATCCTGCTTGGCATTTGCCTGCCGCTGTGCAGGCCCACTCCCCCATCACCGCGGCCCCGTGTGCAGGCTCATGCAGTCTGTGTGATGCTCCCCAGCCGGCCGAGGCGTTGGCAAGGTTGGCACTGGAGGGACTGCTTGGCACGCAGCTTGGATCAGCGGCTGGAGCGATCTGGGAGCCCAGGTGCGGCTCCATGTCCCACCTGTCTGAGCAGAGTTGGTGTTGTCGGCACATCTTACACACCTGTCCCTCTGAGCTGGTCATGCTCATGTGTGTCTTGCACAGCTGTTTCTCAGAGTTGGTCGTGTTCAGCACATGTGTTTTACATACACCTCTGAGTTGGTCATGTTTAGCACACACTATCTTGCACAGCTGTTTCTCAGAGTTGGTCGTGTTCAGCACATGCATTGTGCCCACCTGTTCCTCTGAGCTGGTCGTGAGGTGAGGCGGGGTTCCGTGTGGGGGGATGCCAGCAGCGGCCTCAGCCTCCATCCGGGGGAGGGGAGTCGAGGCTCCGGGGATCCTCATAGCTGATCCGGAAGTGGGAGCCCAGCCAGTGTTCAGATGTAACTACATCCAAGAGCTCAGTGGTCGGCTCAGCCTCAGACGGGAAGTAGAGCAGAGTCTACGTTAAGAACGCAAATGATGCTTAATCCTTCGGAGCTGCCGCTCCAGCATCCCAGGTGAGTTTAAGCCCCGGCTGCTCCACTTTCGATCCTGCTCCCTGATGGTCTGGGGAAGCAGCCAAAGACGGTCCGGGTGCATGGACCCCTGCACCCACGAGAGACCCAAAAGAAGCTCCTGGCTTCAGATCTGGTGAGCTCTGGCTGTTGCAGCCACCTGGGCAGGGAACTGGTGGATGGAGGATATTCTGACCCTGCCTTCGAAATACGTGAACATTAAAGAAGAAATCTGAGGGATCTGAGATGTCATGGAGTTCTAGAAGGAAGAACAGAACAGCACGGAACTGAACACACCTGAAATAATGGCTGCGTTTCTCAGGTCTGCTTGGAGGGGTAAACCCCAGGTGAGGTGTGGGAGAAGCAGGTGCCCCCGGTCTTGGAAAGCACTCCGCCTGTGCCTTGTTCTTCCGCGCGCTGTCCCAGCTTTCCCGCCTTGAGGACGTTAGCATCTGGCTTACCTCTCTGTCACATGCTTGCTCTGCCTTCCACGTCACCTCTGGCCTGTGGATGTGCCCACCCTGACCCCCACTCTGCTGCGGCTAAAACTGAAATCCCGACCCCACCTTGGCGGCTGACGGTGTGGCTCCTGTTCAGAGCTGGGAGGTGTGTGAGCTGGAGCTGGCGTGACACCTCACAGGTTGACCCTGGAGCTCTCCTGTCCCCCCGTGCCCCCGGCCCTCCAGCCCCGCTCGCTCTCCTGCCCCCTGCCCCTCCAGCCTTCTGGCTCCCCTCGTGCCCTGCCCGTTTCCCCTCATGGCCCTCATTTCTGAAACAGCTGTGTGAGGAGCACCCTGCGTTGCTGGGTCCCTGGGGTCTCTGGAACCTTCCCCATCCTTCCCTTGAAGAAATCTCTGTGACATCAGGTCAGGCACATGGGAAATGTCCCGGAATGGGTTTGTCCGAGCCTGCCTATGAGGTGCTGCACCCATGGCTGCATGTCCTGTAACCAGGCCCTTGAGCTTGACCCAGGAGCCCTGCAGCCAGCACCCATATGTCTGCACAGCACCTTGCTGTCCTTTGGCCCCTGGCACTGTGGCGGGGTAGGCAGTTAGCTCAGGGTTGCGAGCTTGGAAGCCACTCCCCCTCAACTCCACCACCTAGGTGTTTCCTCCTGCCCACCTGGGATGCGCACCTGTCACCACCTGGAACCTGAGAGGGGGCGGGGTTGTCACTCCCCTCACAAGCCCCCTTGAAGGCCACGCCAGGGAGGGGCAGGTGCTCGGCCCTGTGCTTTGGTGGCTCGGGTCCTCTGACCCTTGGCCTCCCCAGTGGCTCTGAGGACAGGCAGCCCCTGAGCTGGCCCGTGTCTGGATTCCTCACCCTCTGTGCACTGCTTGGTGGGACAGTGAAGACAGCAATGCTAAGAGGCTTTGTATTTCTAATGTGTGCACTATGGGGTTCCAGGAGGGGTGAGGCCTGGCAGCAGTGGAGTGTGGGCAGGGAGGCCAGGGAAAGGTGAGTGTCTGCAGCTCTGGAAGTATGTCCAGGTTATTCGCTGTATGTCTCGAGGGATGACTTATGTTGCTGGGGAAGCTGGGACATAGGTCTTCAGCTTAACGGATGGGCTTAGGGGTAATGACCGTTTGTTCCTCTCGGGGTTGTGACTGACTGGACTGCCATATGGACTTGTGGTTTGCCTCTTCTAGTGGGCCCTGTTATCACCAAGCTTGG